GTTAATAGGGGAGTTCACAGGCAAAGAGTACTGCAGGGACCAGTAATTGCAGCAGAGAAGAAGATCAACCACTTCCAAGTTCATTTGGTTTTGTAGATTTAATTGCTATTTTCTTATTAAGTGTTGTTCTTCCTTCATGCATTTCGTCTTAATGCTTCCTAGGACTTTACCACTGGTTCCATTTAGATCAAGATGTCAGTAGGCTTTTTGATCTCTGTTTTGTTGGCGTTCAGAAAATCAAGTTTCAGAGAGTGGAATTCAAAACAATATAACCTGGTTTTTCAGGTTTAATCAGGTTGAATTTTCTGCCTTTGGGTGCCAGAATTCTTAAAGAGAAACTTCTCTAATGCCATGGGAAGGTAGAAGCTCATTACCAGCCCTGGAACTCTAGCTGGGTGAATGCAATTTTGGGAGGATCATACTAGGAATCTTTCACCCCTTCTATTCTTGTGGATTTGGCAAGAGGGCATAGCAAGGTTGCAGTCCCTTGTTTTGTTCAAGGGGAAGGGACACATCTCTTTCTAGCTTGGAAGTGATCAGCCATCTTCAGCTTGGGCAGGAGCTGACCACCAAAAGAAAATCCAACCTTGATGGACTTGGCAGAGCTCAGATGTTTTTTCTGGGGTTTTTGTTGTTGTTGGTTGGTTGGTTTTTTGTTTGTTTGTTTGTTTTTTTGTTTAGAAGAAGTCAACCTTTGTCCTTTCTAAGGACCATTTTCTTGGTACATCGATTTTACCACCTGACAACGAGACCCTTTTTTTCTTATTATCCATGTTAGAGTATTTGCTTTTACTTTTGGAAATACTTGTGTTTCAGTAAGAGCTGAGGAAAGCTGGGCTTCACTTCTGTGTGGCTTCTTCAGTAAGCATATTTGGTTGCTAAGAAATCACAGATGGAATGATTTTCACTCCTGAAATCAAAGTAACATTTTTTTATGTTAAGTGAAGATTATGCTTATGCTCAGAAAATATAAGGGAAACAGAGTTCACACGAGAGAAAAGTAAACATTTGTATCACAAATATGACTTACAGCCTATGAATTTTTATTCTTGGATCAAAATTCATACAAAATGCAGGAGAGAGAGACAAACATATTTTAAGTCTGTCATGTTTCTCATGTGTCTACACAATCATGTTGCCTCTTGGGGCTGCTTTTCTCTTAAGTTCATGCAGCACTTTATCTTCCTTTATTATGTTATCTATTGTCATTTTTATTTCTCTTCAAGTATCTAATAATTTTTATTTCCCACTGCTTCTGATCTGTTCAAGCCTTGTCTTTTTTTCCCTTTTATTTCCTGCCTGCATTACTCCTTCTTATTTTCTACAGCTTTCTGAAAGGCCTGTGCATTCCTTCCTCTTTCTACCTCCTTTTTCTTATCCCATTTTTCACCTACTTGTTTGGTCAAGCACTGTTTGGGATTAACAATCAGTGTAAGAGAATCCATGATTTATGGATAAAATGAAAAAACATTAGAGACTTAGATGGCAGTAGAAGGCCTGTTAGAAAAGAAGGGATTGCAAGGGACTTGCTCATGTCTGGTAGGAGGAGTCTGTGGTGGGGAAGGGAATCAGGTGCAATTTTTTTGTCATAAATTACATAGGATGCTGATCTTGCATTCCATGTTTTTTGTCCTTCATAATTGTTGACTAAGTTGCTGAATATTGTGATTGTTTGGTGGGGTTTTTTTAAACAAATAAGTAATGCAGGGTCTTGAAAATCTAAGTATCAATTTCAGTCAATAAGGTTGCACTGGTGGCACAAAATATAGCATTTTTTTTCCCCGCACACATGATACATAATGTGTGTTACAGTGTATAAAAACTGTGTTCTGAGATGCACTATTTTGTATCACTTTCATAGAGGCCCAGAGGGTGACATTGTCCTGAGAACATTAAAAGAAAAAAATAAACTATTGAATCCTTAGGTAATTCTAGAAATTAATTAATACTAAGTGAGTGCCATTCTCATGACTCTGGTTATAATATGACTATTTCAATTCTTCATGAATTTACTGGTGGAGATCTGACCCTTATGTTGGTGTAATGTAATTTTTGTCTTTAACAGAATATATTGCTTTCTTACTAATGGATTTTCAAGCAGACATCTTGATTAAATGTTTTCAAATAGGTGATGCAGAGGTACTTAGCAGTTATGGCTAACCTGTTTTTACTTTAAATTTGCACAAAGCAGTCTCTTTTCACAGTGCTTGCCAAAGAGGAGCAATTAGTCTTGTTTTCCTGTTTAAAACTGTGATTCGCACCATAAAGTGTGCTGTAGGGTTAGTAATTAGTACTGCAACATATAACCACTGTATGTTATTTATGAAGAGGTAGATCAGTAATGCAGTTGAGGCTCTATGAAGTTAAAGGAAAGACTGAAGGAAGAAATTGGGTGATTGGGTGTTTTTCCATAAATGTATGTACATTTATGAAAAATTGGAAAGCTTGAGACACTCAGATCCTCAAAGGCGTGAGAGACTATTTTACTGTTCCATCAGAAAATAAGATATAAAATTACCTTTTTTTTTTGTTTTTTTTTTTTTTTTTTTTGGTCATTCAGAGTTGACGGGAACTTAGATTCTGTAACCTATTACATGTCAATGGTTCTTATGTTCCCTTGGTTATAATGTACTAAAAATAAAAGAAAAATCATATTCAGCTATGACAGAACTATTCCTTAAACAGTGAAGTAAATCAGAATTGACTGCCATTGAATGGCTGTTTTCAGAAATTCTTCTCAATCTTTACAGGTGTATCTACTGCAAGAAAATTCATCAAGTTTTATGGTCAACTTGGAAGAAAATTTTTAAATTTTCATACTATGTAGTTATTATTAATTTTTATTTTATGAAAATTTATTTTTATGGTCATCTTTGAATTTTTATAAGAAATATTTTTGTCCAGTTATACTGGATTATTTTCTGTGTGTTTTACTTCAAGTAGATTTTATTTGCATTTATTTATTTGTGCTATGTTTTTAACCTAGTCTATTCATTGCTTTCTTAATTGATTTTTTTTTTTAATAACTTTCTCTAAGTTTCATAGTCACAAGAGGATATAAAGAGCTTTTACAGCTTTAAATTCTGAAAGAATTTTGGTCAAGTTTGTGCTGATCATGACCTAATGAAAAGTTAATGCAGAAACCCGTTAAACTTTCGAAGTTACTCAGAAATAAGAAATAGTGGCAGGACAAACTGCAACATGAATCTGTTTAAACCATTGATGGTTTCAGCTTTTTGCCTCTATCTGGTAATAATGGGAAATGCAGTTTTTAGAAACAAATATAGTCTGTTATACTTCTTTCAAAATACTTAAAAAGCATAGAGTATAATATTTCTTCCATTGTTTCTGATTTGGTAGGTTTGTTTTTAAGACAACTAAAAGATTTGAGCTTTTAAACCTGGTTTTTATAGAATTGGCTTTTCTAAAAAATGAAAGAAAAACGTATTTGATTCAATGAACAGTCGTTTGAAATGTAGTACTCTAACTGCAGTATATAATATTTTATACCACACACTTAACTTAGCTTCTCTATTAGCAAGGTGTGATGAGGCAATTCAGGCAGTACATGTTACTCTCCTGAATCTTCTGTAGTTCATGAATATAAAGTTTCATCTGGATTCTGACAAATGCATATCCATTGAAGCCAGGATAAACTGCATAGCAACCCACAAACATACAGAACATACAGAAACAAAAGTAAGCATTTACTTATACTGTCTATGCTCAGGACATGGTGGTTACTTGTTATTAACTTGGATGGCCAAAGCAAGGATGTATTTTTCATTGACAGGGAATAATAAAGACAATGAAATCCAAATAATCTTTCTAGGTAAATCCTGTTCGTGTGCATTAAGGCTTTTACATGCACTTTTATTCTGATTTTAATCTTAACTTTGATCAGAATAAGAGAAAATAGGCAAAGAAAAAAAGCACATTTGTTGCACTTAGAGAAACTGGAGCGGTGCCTTCAACATCTTTAATTTGATGTCAAAAGTAGAAGCAAGGCTCATAATTTATCAAAACAAATCTTTTTCCGGAACTCAAGCAAAAATAAAATAATTAGTTCAGGGTTTCACTCAGAGTAGCAGTTTCTCTTTCTGCTGTTCTTTCCTGCCTCCCTATCAACCTGGTTTGTATTTCTCATTGAAAACTTTTCACAATGGGATTCTACAAATTATAAGAGCTTTTTTGGAGGGTACTGTAATGTGTAAGGAACCACGGCAAAGTTAGCTATGTCTGTCTTTTCATGTCTATCAGTAATTAGAGTGACTCAACAACAAAAGATTATATTTTAAAAATTAATTGTTGTGATCAGGTATTCTTCTGTGGCATTTATGATTACAGCTATGTATGTTAAAAGAAAAGAAAAAAGTAGAGCTCAGTTACTGTTTACCAAGAATAAATAGTTCAAGACTGAAGAGTATACAGCAGGATAAAGGATGCTCCAAAGCTTTTCCTACCTTTTATCCTTCCATAATTTTTTAAGCCCTCTTAGTACTATGTTTATTTTAGTGGAAAACTTATTTTTCCTGTCAATCTTGTCAGTATATTTTGATGAAATAAAACACTATGAATTGTCTTAAAGAGTGTTAGACACAGAGCATCAGGAGATGTATATGTTACGTTTTGGATGTTTTCTAATAACTTTTACTCCACTAAAAGTGCAAATTGATATTGGCTTATGCAAAGATTATGTTGTGTATTACTTTAAAGTTTAACATGTCTTTAGTTTCAGATCTGGAGGTGATTTTTGTTACCTGAAATTCTTTCATTTCCTTAACGCTGATGGGGCCAAGGAATTCTAAGCAAGCAGAGTTTGTGCTCCATCCATCTTTATTGTAACTGGCAATAAAGAACCCTCTGGGCTTGGTGTATTGTCATGACAATTATTCTCAAGACATTATACAGCAGTTGTATCTGTCAGCCCGTGCAGTATGGAATGTTTTAACTGGCAGCCTTCCAAGAGTGAACATTAATTTTAGCATCTCTTCTTTTAGTCCCTAATCAAGACATTCCAGGGGTGATTGCACTAACACTGTTTGAAGACTTCATCTACTGGACAGACGGGAAAACTAAATCACTCAGCCGTGCCCACAAAACCTCTGGATCAGACAGACTGTCACTGATTAACTCATGGCACACCATAACAGACATCCAGGTGTATCATTCTTACAGGCAACCTGATGGTAATTATTCTGTCTTTGCTTTCCAAACAGCGCATTGATGTATTTAACTCAGGAGCCAGGTGCTGAGTAATGGAAGCTTGTTTACATGCAGTGATTGTTTTATTTCTCTTTTGTTTCAATTTGTGGAAGTTCTCAAATTAGCATTTTTAAAATTAAATCTGTGATTAATGTTGTAAGCGTGTCTGATACTAAATACAAGTGATGTATCTTGTTCAGTGGTGAGATAGCAATTTGGGTGCTTAAAAGTTGACCCAGATACTGACTGGAAGTACAGAACTGTTTAGTTGCATTATAATACAAGTTACCAGATTTTAAGAGGGGAACAGTGTGTGATAAGAACTTTTAACCTTATTCTTTGAAAAGCAAGATTCCTTGTGTTAATAATGCTGAAGAATACTGCTATTTAGAAACTTGTTGGACTGAGGGGATGTCAGACAATGTGGGTGGTATGTCTGATCTCCTGCTGTCCCTGTATTTGAATTGTAACTGAATACAATTTGGCACTTTACCCAGATAAGCTAATTTTTTCTCTCATTATTAAAAAAAAAGAATGGTGTTTTGTTCTTCCTCTCATTCTTTCAGTATTGAACCTACACCCATAGTAATAATTTTTGCATACAACAGACAGTAGCTTAAAGGCAAAAGGAAAAGTTTCCCTCTGCAGCTTTTTGATTTGAGACATTCCATTGTGAAAATAGCACATGTAATACATCTTTCTTCCTCTGTGAAGCAGATACCCTGGGGTGCACTGAAATAATGGGCTGTGATGTTATTTTCCTACTCTGTCCACAGTGTCTAAACACGTGTGTACACTAAACAATGGTGGTTGCAGTCACTTGTGCCTTCTGGCCCCTGACAAGATGTACACGTGTGCCTGTCCCACCAACTTCTACCTGGCTGCTGATAACAAGACGTGTCTGTCGAACTGCACGGCCAGTCAGGTGTGTGGGGGCAGGGATTATATTTTACTGTCATTACCTGTGCTTGTAAATAATCAATGCTGGTGCCCATGAAATGTGGAAGTATCACTCGAAGCAGCTGAAGGCTGGGTGCACTTACAGAGTTTTGTCTTCAAGGCTGTTAGTGGAAAATAGACTTACAAATGCCTTTTATTCCGGAGAATGCAGAACTTGTTCGCTTTCAAACATCGATGTTTCTGCCAGTCACTAGAACAAATAAAAATTGCTAAACCCATAAAAATTGCCTTGAAAAAACATTTGTATGAAATATAAAAATACAAAGTGTGTATAACAATGATTTGGGAGGATTCATGCATGAGTGAACTTTACATTAATAAAAGATAACAAGCTCAATCCAGTCAAATAGGTAACATAGCTACGTAGGTAAATTATAGATTTGCATTTAAAACAATCCAGTAGTTAAAATGGAAATGGTGTCATATGTAATTAATTAACAAATACATCAACTGCATGCAGTGTATTCCCTAGTACTTGAAATAAATATTTATACCTTTTTTTTTAAAATATAAAGTAGATAAGTAAAACATACTGATTTCTTATAAAAGAACCACTTTCATAAAAGTCTTTGGACTGTTCTACCCAGACAATTAATTGGTTGACTGTTATAGTACATATGGCCTTTAAAATATTTTTAGTAATCTACTTTTCTAGCAGTTCACTTTTTTTAGGTGTAAGCTAATGACCTCTTACACCATTCTATATCATGATGTATGATAATGATTTCCAACACTAAGGAAAAGGTTTTACTTGTATTTTTTAGGAAACAGTGTTCATCTTAAATATTGCAACGTTTAAACCAAGTAATATTGTTATTAAAGAAACCTTCCCACTGTCTTCCTCTGTTGACTTAAGGTGGTGTGATTTAATGATGTTCATTGTATCTTTTGTGTTTTTATTGGCTTGTTGTTACTTCCTATTAAGAAATGAGGAGGGGAAAAAAAATGGTGTAAAACATTTGTAAAATGAGGAATTTCTTACCTATTTTTCCCTTGTATTTAGTTTCCCAAATTTTTTTGGTTAAAAGAAAAGTCACTCTTTTCTTTTTTTTTTTTTTTTTTTAATATATTTTCTTTAAATGACACTGGAAGCTTATTCCACAGTGAATTTATATGCTAACATTTGATTGAATGGCTCTATTCCTGTCTAAATAATTCATTGATCACCTGAATTGAAGGATTGCATCACATCTTGGATCCTTCAGGAGCAATATTTTATCACTTGTGGATTCCACAGGATGGAGAGCAGAGTTAGAGAGAAGAAGCAGCTGCAGACAGACAGTTTACATTGTACATTATTTGTCATTTTCTTCCACTTTTGAAATCTTTTTACTGTTTGATCATTCATCAGTCTGATGGCATAAGGTGCAGAGATCAGTGGCAAAAATACACTTTTCTCCCTAAGATTTTCAGATGATGATGTCAAATCAGAGCTGGTCCGATGATGTAATCGCTCTTGACGATATACCCACTGTGAGCTGTTTCTGATGAAAAGGAGTTGGATGGTCACTACACTGGTCTTGCACATCTCCAGACCATCCTGTGATGGCTTATCTGATGTGAGAAATTGTTGAATACAAACCACATCAGACTTTAGAGCACCAAAACTCCAGCCACTGGAGACCCATATGATTCTGCTCCCTGATTTTACAGGTCTCTGGCTCCTCAGTTTGAAAGGGAATGCAAGTATTTTCATAAAACAGCATCTAAGAGTTAGTACCCATTTCCTGGAAATAACCTCATAATGTCATTTTAACAACCTGAAGTCCATTGTGGTGAGCAGAGCAAGGCTGGCACCTTAGAGCAATTAAGCATCAGAAAGACTGTGCTAGAAAGCAAAAAATACTAAGAATGAGAATTGCCTGAGTTTCTGTTTGTCCCCTACATTTGTTGGCCTTCTACTGAGGCTCCTCTGAGCTGTGTAACCTGTGTTGGGCAGTTTATAGTTTAAAACAGCTGCCTTTCAACCCAACCTCTTACAGGGCATGTCCCTCGAGGTGGTACAAGAACAATGTAGCTCCAGCTATAGGTCCTACTACATAAATGCCCTTGAAACCCTGATTTTTCTTGGCAGAAAAGATTAAACTGACCCAATGCACTGAATATAATATAACTTTTAAATACAGCTTTATTGAAAAATCAACTATTTTTAAAATGTGAAGAAATTAAAAAAATACTGCTGAGTCACAGAAACTGAGATGTCTTGCACTTTTAAATCTGTTGGTTTCCTTCCTTTCGGACATCAGGTAGAAAAAACAATATATCTTAGAATTTTCTGATAATCTGTTTAGGTTTTCCTCCCAAGCATTAGCCACATTTACTCAGATTTTAGATTTAGCCCTAGAAGTTTCATCAAGTAATTTCTACTCTTAGTTTTGTTTGCATTCCTGTTTCAGTCAGAGCAAAGGTACATTGTCACCTGAGTACAGAGTAAAGGCACTGCCAGAGTCTTACAAAGGATTTTTCTTTTTTTTTTTCTACAGATATTCTATCCTTTTGAAAGGCTGGAAGGCCTGATATCTGGTTTGCTCATTTAATTCAAACAATATAAGCAATATCATACACTACACTGCACGTTAAGGCCTTTTTTTGTAACTGTGGGTGTTTGCGTTTATCAGGAAAAATTATACTATCTGCTTCAGCAATCTACAACAACTGAGAATTGAAGTGCTTGTTTTGAATAAGATCTTAAAAGATGAAAACATAAAATGCAGTGAGGGGTTTGTATTGGGTCATTGTAAAGCAGTGTGGAAATATCACTGAAACTACAGTTACTTTTATCAGTGAAAACCTCAGCGCAAAACATCGCAAAAAAAGAGAATATTTAAAATACAAGTTTTGTAAAATTAACAGCCAGAATTCATTAATGGAATGATGACTTAAGCAGTGAATCTAATTTTCATAAACTACTATTTCTAAGTGAATAAATAAATATTCATATGAAAGTCTTTTCTCCTTCTCTCCTTCCTGTTACAGTTCCGCTGCAAAACTGACAAGTGTATCCCGTTCTGGTGGAAGTGTGACACTGTGGATGACTGTGGGGATGGCTCTGACGAGCCTCCAGAATGCCGTAAGTGCATCCTGAATTTGGAACCCAGTTTTATCAGTAGGGTCCAAATCAAATATAATGCATTACAGATGTTGGGAAGAGGAGTGTTTTTGAATGCTTCTGTTTGCCAGCAGTGTTTTCTGTTCCTTGGTTTCTGTCAAATATAAAAAGGGTGCAGGCTCTTCTTTGTCAGTCTGTAAAAGATTATTGTTAACTCATGTCTATTCAAAGTCTTTCAAGTTCTTTGGAAAATCATGCATTGTTTTTCATCTTCTAAACCTTTACTTCATCCCAGTTAAAAGCAAGTGACAGAATATTCTGAGTTGGGACTCACAAGAAGCATCAAGTCCAACTTGAAAGTTAATGGCCCATACAGGGATCAAACCCACAACCTTGGCATTATCACCATGTTCTAACCAACTGAACTACTCTCAGTTATGGTTTTACTAAAGATTTTTATTTGCTAGCTCTGTTCTGAGGTTGCAGAATTTTTTATATAAGTACAAAATTCGGCCAGGTTTATTTTTGCATGTAATAAAAATGTGGAATTCTAACCTCATTTGCTTGTGTTTCATTGCAATTGTAGAAGTTTAGATGCACATTATTATTATTATTTACTGCAGTTTTCTGAGCAACAACATTTTCCCTTGTTCCCTTAAACTTATATATAAACGTGCTCTACTATGTATTCTACAATCTTCCAGTTAATTAACAGTTAATTTGGTTTTTTTTTACTGAAATCCCTCACCCCTGTTTTTACAGTTTTATAATTAGTTTTATAACTTTTCCTGCTACAGAGGCCTCTGAAGCAAACTTCAACATATAAACATTTTACATAAGATTCCATTTTAAGCTACACTTTGTGCATATAAAATATTGCTACAGAGGTACATAATTGCTCATTGACTCAAATGACAGTGGCTAGGAGAAGGAAAAGTGTTAAGCCTTTCTTGGGAAATAGAATTACAGTAGGGATAGCGAGTTTCTTACACACAGACTTGAAGTCGAGTGTTTAGATCCTAAATTGCAAGTCTCTGTGGAGCCTTGCAGTGAGCAGCGACCTGCAGGGAGTTTCACTCTGTACCATTAATACTGTAACTACAGTTAGGCAAATTTAAAATGTCAGGCTTTGAAATTAGTTTTGCAATAATATGTGTATGTTTGAGTTACTAATATATACTCAGATTGAGATTATATGGGCACATGTGAAAGTTTATAGGTTCTTTTGATTAGTTCATAGAGGAAGAACAGCACTGTTGATACTTTGCCCATCCCTCTGATAGTATTCATAAGCAGTTTCTTTTTTTCTCAGCTGAATTCAGATGTCAACCAGGACGTTTTCAGTGTGGAACTGGACTTTGTGCTCTTCCAGCCTTTATCTGTGATGGAGAGAATGATTGTGGGGACAATTCTGATGAACTGAACTGTGGTAGGTGATTATATACATTGTAGTCTTCAGAAACATGCTAAACTGATTTAAATGCCATACTTTCCACTCTGTCAAGAAACTGTGGGGTTTTTTTCATTTACCTTTTAAGTTTTGAACCTTTTAATCTTTAACTTTTAATTTTTTTAACTTGTTATTCTTTTAATTTACAGACACACATGTGTGTCTGTCAGGTCAGTTCAAGTGCACAAAAACTCAGAAGTGCATTCCAATAAACCTGAGGTGCAATGGACAGGATGACTGTGGTGATGAAGAAGATGAAAGAGACTGTCGTAAGTATCTGGTTTTAAACAAGGAACTGGAGTAAAAGATATAAAATACTGTAAATATCCTCTATAGAAAATAAATTTAGAACATGCAAACAAACCTCAGTTTTTTAAAGTCATTGCAAAGAGGAGGGAGGTATAAACAATTTCAGGCATTTAATTGGGATTTTGACTTAGGCTGAAACATCTGTTTTACTCTTAACCACCTCACAAATGACTCATCCTTTTGAGCCTTTCATCTGCTGTGCCTTGCAGCAATGCATTTCCGTGGAAGAAGATAATTTTCGGCATCTTTTGTTGGAAAAGCTCTATATCCAAAACTCCTTCTACATCCTTTTTCTTTAATTAAGTTTTTTTACCTTTTCTATTCCCTATCCCCTGGGAACCTCTTCATTAATTTGGCTACGTAACTGGATTTGCACTTGCTCAGCTTTTAATGCAACTTACTTTTCATAAGTTCATTTTCACTCCATATTTTTTGCATATAGGTAGCGAAAATACTTTCAGGTTTAAAATGGAATCTATTGAATAGCTTGTGTCTTTGATCATTTGGTAATTAAGATGATGGGACTGTCTTGAAATATAGCTCCTTCTTTCACTCAGTTCATTACTCAGATCTACTGCTGATCTAAGCTGCTTATTCTGAATTAGCTTTCTCAAGGTTTACATGGGCTGCATTTCTGCAAAGAACATCCCCTTATCCAAGGGACAGGTTGCTAAGGATACAAAGGCTTTCTTGATGGTCACATTTAATATCTGTCTTCCAAACAACTCAGAAGAGGTGTAGCCTCTGACAGATAATATTATATGTTGGTTTGCATTTTAGGTTTCTTTAAAAACTGATTAAGTGGTGTCAGGTAAACTCCTGTGAAACGTTGGAGAGATTGCTTTTTATCTTGGAAAGAACTGCACGTGGTATCTGGAAGGTTCCCAGAACCTCGAGGTGTAGCTGGCAGAAGTTAAATCAGAGCAGCAGAGTCTGCAGCACAGCAGTGCTCAGGAACTGTGGGATGGTCAGGGCCAGGATCAGCAGTGATGGAGTTGGCAACATCCTGGGGATTAATAAGAACAAAACAGTCTGCTGTGACACTTTTGAGTGTCTGAAACTCAGCCATCAACCCGCCTACCAAGACCCAGTGGGGAGCAGGAGAGGTTAATCATATACATTTTTCTATTTTCGTTGTGTCTTACCTCGACTTTATTATCTTCTCTTTTAAGAAAGTTAAGTGTATTCATTTTCTTTTAATAAAACCCTGCTTGTGGCTTCTGAAAATTCTCCAACGGACTTTGGGGAGATTACAAAAAGGGAGATTTTAAGCAGGTTTATCACAGTGTTCATATTACTTGGGCTCCTCTCAGAAAACAAGTAACAGATGAGATTATCTTGTTTGTTCCGATTTCACCAGACTAGGATCCATAAAATGCACACCTTTTTTCAGCTCTACCACTGTTTTGTTTTATTTATCAGTTGATTTTGAAGGAGTCATATTTCATACTGAAGGTTTCCCATATATAAAACAGGTAATTATGCTGGTCTTCCTTGTAAAGCAATTTGAAATGCCCTGCTAAGGTGTGCTAGATGAGAATTAGAATTATTTGTTCAAAGTATAGTTAGGAACTTATCCAGGTTTGTGGAAGTGTTACACTGGAGGAAATAATACACCAACCTTTAGGATACCTTAAAATTTTTCATCTTGCCAAACCCAAGAAAAAAGAATATCATCAGGGAGCTAATTGCTTTTCAACAGGAATAGGAAAGTTTGTTAAAGAACTTACAGAGTTCCTCAGGTAAAAGTGGGACAAACATTCATGTGGGAAAACATCAAGGTTTAGATCCTACTGCTTTCTACCTACATTCAGTTCAGTTTAAAATGATTTAGGGATTCGTGTACATATCCTTGTTTCTAAAGAAATCCTTATGCATCTGGTCACAAATAGCTTACTCACAGTCCAGTCTGGGTAGAGGTCCTTTATTCATCTTACCTCTCTCCTCTCAGTTATGAAAGTCTGAGAAACAGTAAGATCTGATGTATGTGCTTGTGAAAGAGTCCATCTACAGTCACTGACTGCACCGAGGATCTTTTCTGTTGTCAAATGTCTGTTCTAAGGTTAATGCACCTTTAACTTAGAGCATCCTTAAAAATCAATTGAAAAGTCAACTGCATCTTTGCATCTTTATCTTGCTATAGGATTCATTCAAAAAATTGTTCTACTAAACTAAGTGAAATATTTGTCACACTTTTCTCACCATTTACCCAATTTAACAGAAAGCACATAATTTCACCAAAATTGTACATAATTTTGATTCCTTTTTCAATCAAGGCTTTGAGAACTGCCTGAGCCTTTCAAATTGACTTTCAGAATTGATAACTGGTCTTTTATGAAGTTGAAAAAAAAAAATCTTATCTGATTTTTGCTAAAGTGGTTTGATTGTATCAATGTTAAGTATATTTGTTGTTTAAAGAATATCACAAGAGATCCTTTATTATATTTTCCTTACTTTACTCTTATAGATAAAATAATACATAAAAAATGACAAAATGATAAACTGAACCTGAATGCTGTTTTCTTATAGATGTTGAATAAATTATGCCAGAGGTATCTAATTTCTGAATTTTAAATCCTTAATATTTTTTCTTTAAAACAAGTATCTTGAATATTAGTGGATATTTCTAGTTTTGATTTGGAATTCTTTCATTTAAAGCTGAAAACAGTTGTTCTCCAGACCATTTCCAGTGTAAAACAACAAAGCACTGCATTTCCAAACTGTGGGTATGTGATGAAGACCCAGATTGTGCTGATGGATCAGATGAAGCCAACTGTGGTGAGTATGCCAGTGGTTTTGAATATGTTACTCTAGCTTGAATTTTTTTAAAAAGGTAGCAAAAGGCAATAATTATTATAATTATTCCACTGTTTTTGTCCTCTTTCAGTGTATGATTATACCTGTTTGATATTGTAGGTGTACCTGGATCATCCAGTTCTTGCTGAATGGTAATCTTTTATGAGTAGTTTATAAAATTCACATTGTGCTACTGTTTTATTGGCAGGAGCTGCAAATGAGTATCTCATTTGGAATTTTGAAGCATAATGGCATAGAATATTGTGACTTGCATAGGATATAATGACATTCTTTTTATTTCTCACAGTGTTATCCAGTTTCTATCAGTTCAGTCTGTGTACTTTGTTGATGCTGAATATCATAAACAGTGAAAATATGATTTGAATATAATTTGAAAATCCTGTTAGTTAACACTGACTGTATAGAAGGGTCCAGAGCAGAATCCAACTTGACATGACCAACTTTTGCTTTGCTGTGGGAGCTCCAGGGCGTTAGGTACCCTAACAAACCACTCCACAAACTTTGAATTCCCATAGGACTTCTCCAAGAATTTGTGATACTTATGGAACTTCTGTACTTAAATGTGATAGTCTGAGGAACCACATCCTCTACAGAGAAGATCGAGCATAGGATTGCACCATAACCAAACCAGGCCCCAATTTATGTCAGATTTTACACAGCATCCAGAACCACAGTGTTCTAACCCACTGAGGTGGGTTATTTTAGACCCAGTAACAATTAACCATCACTTGGGGAAAAAAAAAATATCACACTTTATATTCACAGTAGTAGTAGTAGTTGTTCTCACTCGTTGCTTGCATTGTTTGAAAGTACTGAGTCAGCTCTTTTTGTTGTAAATAAGAGAAAATAATAAATTTAAATACTCTACCTGGGAAATGGATTACAGATAATCAGAGGCAGAATGAGTGGATTGGTATTGTCAGAAAATCACTGAATGTGGATGTCCAAGCAAAACACACACTAATCATGAACAGAAAAACTTGTGACATTTTCAAGGCAGTTCTACAAAGGAAAATATAGAAAAATTTTCTGGGATGGAACAGAACAAGACAAATAGTGTGGATCATACAAATCTCTCCTAGTTATTTATCCATGCATCAGTAAATGGTTTGATGAAACCCATGAATCTGGACAGGTTTATACTGTCTCTGGAAAAACAGAGTAACAAAACTACTGGCCGTAGTCAAGGACAAAGCACTGAGGAACATCCAATTTTCCATGGATATCTTTCAAGCAATTGACACCAGCACACATATCAAAATGTTGGAGGTGACCAATATGCCTGGGAAACGGAATTCTTCCTCAATGCTGAAAATCCAAGACTGTCATTTGAATTGTCAAGACTGGGGAAACTAAATCCTATCAAATGAGGAGAAGTTACAATCCAAGAAATCAATTTGGCTTGAAGAAACAGTGAATGCAAAGGAGATGAACCTTTGCCACAGAGACGCTTTATATCCTCTTCTGGGATATCATAGAACCAACCCTGCACTGTTCAGTTTCTGAGCCACTTCACAGCTGCTTTTTCCTGCACTGTTCCGCATCACCTTGATCTCCAACAAGCTGTTTTTTTCCACTCTTGGCAACTTTCCAAGCTTCCAAACTGTGGATTCATATTCTGACTTACCCATACAAGACCAGCTCGTACAACACAGTTTCAAAATAATTCATCTAATAATATCCTTAAGACACAAAACTTAAAAGAAAGGAGAAAAAATAAAACTAATATTGAACAGGAAAATTTGTATTTATAATAGGTATTTCACAGTCATCATTTTACAATCAAATGAACAATGTCCAAATTTCCAAATTACTCAAACAATTAAGTAATATAGAGGAGCATTGTGTGGAATCCCAAGTTCAATAGGTTTTTCCAGTGATAACATATAACTGGATATGTTGATTCATATCTAAGACTCATCTTGCCTGTTATCCTGTCTCTGGCAGTGACTGAAAATGATTATCTAGGGAAGAATGTGAGAGCAAAGCAGGCCAGTAGTGCAACTTCCCTGAAATACTCTTCCGGGCTCTAATAATTTGAGAATCAGAGGTATTGTGAGTCAAATATGTCTCTGTATGCAATAACCCTTCATGGATTTAATTATCTTTTTACCTTTGTAAAGCTTTCACAACATACTGTAGCAAAGTGTTCCACAGCTTAATCCCACACCTCCCTGAAAAAAACACTTACATTTTTATTTTTAATCTCCCAACTGCATATACTGCTCTTAGTTTTTGTGTTGAAGGAGACAGAAGAATTTATTTATATTCACAATTTTTGTACCACACACAGTTGTGTACACATAGAACAGCTAAACCTTAAGAAGAATAGGGTGGTTTAATCACATTTTTAAGTTTTCCATATTTTTAGTATTTGAAATATGTTTAAATGACCTTATGGCAGTAGTTTCAACAGTTTGGTCTTCTGCGTTTTTTTTTTTTTCGAGTTAAAGATTGTTATTTCTGTGAACAAAATTTGATAGAATTAAATTCTAAAGCTGCAAGCTGAGTATAAAAAAAGATCTCCATATGTTGATGTAATACTAACTTGTTATTGTTTTGAGTTCACTTTTAAAATGCTTACGGTGCACAGCTTGTGTAAAGGGTAGGTTTTTTTGCTCAAGTACTGCACAACCATGTGTATTTTGCTTAGTCAACATCTACTGCTGTGTGTTATTGGAGATATTATGCTGAGTAAATTTACTAGAAGTGGTGTAAATGTATTTAGTCTTTTGTGGTTACTTTGTGACTGAGACAGTTGAAATAGAGTTAGGAAAGATATGTTTATTAATGAGTGTATTGTGTTTTTTGGTAAAGAGTAGATAGAGTTAATTTGTGCTTACTGTCCAGGCAATTAGAGAAAGCCATTTGATTCTGCTAATCCTTGCTCTCAACTTGAATATTTTGCATCAAATATGGGCCATTTGAGGTAGAATCTGAAAAAAGCTGTGTGTGGTCTTGAGAAGTGATTATGATTTGCTTTAAAGGTTATGTGTATTTCAGGTCTTTATTACCATGATGTGTCAACATTAATATGACTGCTTTCTACTTCCTCACTTTTTTTAATATTAATTTTATATTAATTTTATTTTTAGCCTTAGGAGTCAAAGTAAGCTTTTTTCCTGATGATGAAGAATGTGTTCCTTGAGAAATTTGAAGGATGCATTATATAAACTTAAACTTCCTTTGACAGGCTTATAAATTCCTGTATCCAGCACCGGTGACAGCCCACTACGCTCTAGAACAGCAAACTGAGCCTCGATCCAAAGTGAATTTTCATTTTGGATTTTATCCCTCTCAGGCACACATACACACACACACACAAATGCACAAAAATGAAAATATGTGGAATTAAAATCCCCAAATGGCAGTGTAGTGCAATTAGTGGCAAAAGAGTAGGGATTTCATTTGTAGGGATTGATATTTGAATCAAAATGCTTTCAAGGTTTTCTTTCAGACTTACTTTGTTTTTCCTATTTAAGCCTTCATCCTGTTTTCTTCATACTCATTTAGAAGTATTTCTAAAGTAAAATCCTAGTTCAGTATGCACAAAAGATGAACCCCAAACAACCAGCAGCTACATCAGGTGATCACACAAATTTCTGAAAAAGGGTCTTTGCCTGTTACAGTGAATCTCTTAATAATAATTTGAAGAGAGAAATATGAAAATTGAGTAATCAGTACTTAATTCTTTGCCTTTGTACCATTCCTGTCTGAACTTTCACATTTTAAGGTCACATTTTATGAAAAATGAGAAAGCAATTTAGAGCTGAAGACAGCAGTGACAAAATGTATGTGGGCCCACGTGTGCTTTGAATTGTTCCACAATTCAAAAAAAATAAAGTCTTGCAGTGTTTCCTCTGAGTTGAGTAAATCCATCATTCTCAAAGATCAGGTAATTGTTACACAACTTTCCCAAATCTTTCTCTTTCTTTTTATTATATCCTATCTCTGCTATCCCATTATTTTCCTCTGTTCTTATTAATGTGGAGGAAATCTGATTTGTAATACATTGTCAATTGTAAGCTGCTATGAGAGATCAGAGGAAGAATAAAGCTTTCAGATTTGTGAAGAGGAGAGAGCCTTACGAACATGAAAAATATTTTGTATTAAAAATATAATTAAATATTCCTTTGTGTTTGGTAGAAATAGAATAAGAAGAGAAAGATTAACATTCAAATACTAATCGTAGGGTTAAGCTACAGTTGGATAAATTTAAAAAATAAAATCCAACCATTCTTCACATGTGTAAAGAGGCAATGCCAGAAACTCGGTTTAGCATCCCTGAGAACTAGATAATTCTTTTTGAAGAGTAAGAAAATATATATTACATGTTCTCTTCATTCTAGCAGGTAACTGAAATGAAGGAATGTCATCTCTCTATTCTGTGTATTGCTGATTAGATCTTGGTATTTCTATTGAATGTGGAAGGATAAATAGAATATTTACATGTCACTCTGATGATACCTGTCATTAGTATTTAGAACACATTTTGTGGGCAAATATGTTATTGGGAGATTGTAGGCTTTACTAGAAGTACTTTAATAAATACTGGATGGATTGTGGGTGTGAAACATTACCTTTTGCAAAGCTACAGAGACAAAATACAAGTCTGTCATATGTTTGGGGGCAATATTTTTGTTTTGTAATGTTAAATATTTTAATTGCTTGCCAACACAAGTGTTTTTGAAATACTGTGATCAAAATATAGGCTGTGATCGTAGGAAACATCATAGGAAAAAATATTCTGGGAGAAAAAGTCTTACAATCGTCATATTGGCAGAGAATAAGGAGCAAACACAAAAGGCAGTATTGCAATTCCCAGATTTTTGACTGTACTCAACTGAGCTGCAGCACCATTTACCTCCACCTTCTTGATATTCAAATGAAGTTTTGATTTATCACTGTAATTCCAGAATCACACCTAGAAGAACAGAATAAAAACAGCAGTTTGGACCATGGCATCAAGTCTAATCCTTCTAGTTTGTCATCCTTTCCATTTCACAAGCAGAAAAAGCAGGTTGATTTAAGTTGCTGTTTCAGTCCCCTTTAATTCTGTCAGTTTTTGGAACTCACTGAGTTACCATGAGAGCAGTATGGAGCTGAACTGACATGCTGTGACACAACCTAACAGAAATTTAAAAAATTCCTATTGAAATATTACAGTGACATGTAATTTTAAATATGTCATTGAGGCTTTTACAAAGCAAACTGTGGGGGTTTTTTCCAACAAAAATGTCACTGATAACTTTTTAATTTACTTCATTTCATCTCAGTCCTTAGAAGCTGAAAGAATTATTCAAGAATTACTCACAGAAAGCACAGAGGCAGCTCCTTCCTGCTAGAGGAGTTCAGGATGTTCCTGTATCTTGAAGAGGCTTTGCCTCCAATGCTTCTCTGTAAATAGAAAAACTCATTGAAAATTTACATCATGAAGAAAATTATGCTCAGTTTAGCACTATAGGCTTTGTAATGTTTTACCTTGTACAAGTAGACTTTCAATCCAATACATCAGCAGGGTGAATGTATAAATCAAAGTGGAAAGTTTTCTATCAGGTATGATTAGTCTTAAATTATTGTATGCAAGAATTAACTTTTGAGAAATACATGTTTTGTACGTTTTTCAAATCACTATTCTTGTGGTTTACTGTGATCTGATCTTTTGTAAAGCAATCTTACAGAGAAATTCAAGGAAAAGTTAATGGAATTTTTGAGATTCAGTGCAATAATAACCTCTCTTCGAGCTAATTTGTCATCCTTTCTGAAGTTTATATTTTTAACTTTAAATAACAGTTTATACAGTACATATTTTAATTTTATCAAATTTAAGAGTATATGTATTCTGGTATAAATAAATAGAAGCTTAAAGAATGTGTCATGAGAAATAAATTATCCCTGAAAGTAACTTTTCAAATGTTATGGTCACTTCTTCTTAAATGTATGTAGCAATATCGTCATGCCTTTGATAGAAGTCTTTCCCATTTTGACTCTTTATTTACAATGCTGTAAATGTTATTCACCATAATTACAGATAAAAAAACTTGTGGACCTCATGAGTTCCAGTGCAAAAATAACAACTGCATTCCAGACCACTGGAGATGTGACAGCCAGAATGATTGTGGAGATAATTCTGATGAAGAAAACTGTAGTAAGTAACTTTTACCTTAGTCCATGTTATGAGAAATAGAGTTAGTTTAGCAACATGTAAGAGGAAACTTTTGAATTTTGATAAAATACACACGTATGTTTTTACTCAACGCTTTCTGAACTGTTGAAAATCTGTTGACCACAATTGAAAATGTCCCTTGATGAAATTCTCCAATTGCATTCTTATAAAGAGCTGTAATTCTGTGCCATCTATGCAAAAATACCTAATCTATGGCTTCTTAATAAGCTCATTATTTCAAAATAAATATTACAATTGCTTTACCTTTGGCATTTAGTTGCATATCACATTTCGTAGCTGTAGATAAGAATCATAAAAGCTGCTCAGTGATCAAATGATAAACTTTGTTAACGATGAAGTTGGATCAAACACTACCTGCACATCATATTCCTGAGATGATTCCTTTGTTTTCTATCATGAGAAGTCTGTTTCTGTCTATTAAATCACATGAAGAAGTAGATGTGGTTATTCAAAGTAGCTCAGTTAGCCCAGTTCTCCCCTACCTACGAGGAACTTGAAGGCCTAATAAATCTCTCACTCTCAGTGAACTAATTTAGATTTAGTTCTCAGGAAGAAATGTCAAATCCTTACTGGTTCTAGATCATAGCCATTGCCTTTATAAAATATTTCAGAAGAGAAATTCCAAAAATAGTTATGAAATACCTTCAGTTGACAATTTCTGCTCTTTTTGTTCATTTACTTAGAAATCCAAGAAATTAATATCTTGGTTTGTAGATAATCTTAAACTCACATTCCTGATGGCCTATCATAAATGTATATTTAGTACCTTCAAGGTAATGGTTTAGAAAGCTTAGTAAATTAGGCATTGTAGTACTGAGTACCTGCTGTCTGCCCCTTTCTCCAGTGTGAGATGTGGTGTCCATAGAGTGTCTCATTCTACTCAAGATATTACAGTGGATTTGTCTTCCTTGTAATTACTCCCTGCATTTGAAAATGTTGTGAGTCACTGCAAGCAGTAGTGCTGTAGTTTCCATATAAAAGTGTTTCATATAAAAATGAAAGTGTCATGTAGCTCGGTAATCACTCAGAGCCTTTTGTTGTTATACCCTGGGAGGGGTTGATGCACAAAAGCTTTCTTAGCTCTGTGGGAGATTTTACTTAGGAATTGATTATTAATGTCAGTTTCCTATAGTATAAATAGCAAGAAATTATTTTATGTTCTTTTTTTCTCATGTAAAAATCAAATAAAGGGTCATAGTTTTGCTATCATGGTGTTAATCAGCATGACTGAACAATCTTTTGAAAATTAAAAAAAAAAAAAAAGAAAAAATAAAAGCGGAAACTTCTACAAAATATTATTGCTGTTTGCAAAATAAGTGTTGAGGATCTTATTTGGAATTTGCCATGTGTATCACCCAGTAGTAATGAACTTCTTCCTTGAAGATCAGATCATCATAGTACAAAGTGATTAAAAAAAGTTCAAGTAATGAGGGAGCAGTCATCTATTTGGAATTTTTAATATTTATTAGATTTTCCAACTTTGTCTTCATATCAATAACCAAGTTCTATGTTCAGTTCTTGACTGCTTTCTGATAAAGAAATCTGTAATTAGTTGTAATGTATGGAATTAGTGAGTTGAGAGTACCCAGACACAGGCAGGACATCAAAATAAATGGTGGTTTTTTTAATTTACTTTTGATTGTCAAGTGCACACTTAAATTCTAGCTTTTGAATCCCATACTCAACTGTTTAAATTTAGAACAGTAGGCTGACACAGTTTTAAAATTCAAAATCTTGGAAGCATTGGAAAAGTACATAATACTGTTCAGTTGTTTCAAATAGACATATGAAATTTTTATAGACTATCAAGTCACTTATAGAATAAAGTGTAATGAAACAAATATATATGAAATTAGAACTTCAAAAGCATTTGACAGAATATATTACATTGCACATTGTGATAAATTGTTCATAGCATACATGAATGTACAAAGGTCTGTCTGGCAATTATATCAGAAAATGAGTTGTTTTTCAAGAATGCAGAAAGAATTCACTGAATTATAGAAGCTCAGCTCAAGTATTTAAATTTTTCTATGTAGTTTGTTCACATGCAAGAAATTCACTATCCTGGTGAAGTTATCAGAGGTGTAACAATGCATATTAAAAAATATCATATATGGGTTTGAAAAGTTATTAGGGATATCATGCAAATCATTGTGCCCACTATGACTTTGTTATATAACTTCACTTCTCTTACAGTCTATTGTTCTTTAACTATATTTGAACCTTGTGAAATAAATAAGAATTATTAGGAAGGATATAGGTCCATAATGAGTTTGCAATAGGGAAAGTAGCATACACTGGTAATTCTTCTGAGGTAATATCTTTTGGGGGGGGGTTCTTTTAGAGTTTTTAAAAATCAAAATAAACAAATTAGAGCAAAAACAATGTTTTGTCTTTCAGGAAGCTTCAAAAGGAAAATTCCATAGTAATGACTATCATTCCTGCTAAGGCAGCGCCAGTAATTTTTTATTTAATGTAATTAAAGAAAATGTAATATACTGTAAACATTGAAGCAAAGCAAAGATAATAATGCTGTAGAAAGATATTAATTCAATCAGTGTAAAAATATTACTGTTGCTAGAAAATCTTCCTAATGCTGTTTTGTTGCTTCTACAAGTTGTCAGGAAAACAAATTAGTTAATTTTGTCCTGGGATGAGTTTGTATCCGAAATGCAATGAGAAGTAGCAATTATTTAATCTTTACTGAAAATGTTTTAAATGAGCATATTGAAGTAAGATAAGCTGGAGCATCTCATCATATTGAGTACATTTTGAATGGATAGTGCTGTAAATTCAGGTTCTTCACATTGCTTAGGGCTCAGCTGACTTGGTACAAGAGATGATGGCTTGTGTGAGTTCTCTAAAAGCAGCTGGGTGTCAATGCCAGCCACAGGCACATGTGCTAGTTTAGTATGATAAAGTGATGTGTACCAAAGGTTTTTTTCTTTTGCAGACACCTACCAGTCTCAGGTTTAGATTAACAAAGAACAAGTCTTGTCTTTGTTTTAGATAATGCTAAGTTATTAAAAGGATAAGTAAAGAAAATCTGCATTTAATGCCACAATACATATATGAGAAAACTCCCCCTAATACCACTTCAATTATCTTGTGTTTAGAAGCATTCATTCTGCAGGATGCTACATGTTAGTGCTTTAGCAGTTTTTTAATGATGTTTAGTTTTTTTCTCAGTATCACAATAATTCTCCAAAGAATCTTGGTAGATCTGAAAGTATTTTCATTACTCTCTTACTATATGTAAATGAAATTTAGCCTAAAAATGGAGGAAAATCCCACAGGAAAAAAAAATTCTTAAATTTTGCAAATTAGGGGGTTTACCTTTGTTATAGTCGTTCATTAATTGCTGGGGGTTTTATGTATATTTTATGGAAATGCTAATAAACATAGGGTTGTTTCTTTTCTTTATTCAGAGCCTCAAACATGCACTTTGAAAGACTTTCTGTGTGCGAATGGAGACTGTGTTTCAGCGAGATTCTGGTGTGATGGAGACTATGACTGTGCAGATGGCTCAGATGAGGTAGGCATCTTCCAGGAAACGTATTTTCTTGGAAAATTAGTAGGTTTATATTGTTGGAGAATGGATTCCTGCATGCAAATATTTTAAAAAGCAGCAATGGGAAGTCCACACATGAATCCATATATGCAAATATCATTACTTAATTAAAACTAAACCTTTTGAAGTAGTTATTTTAAAGAGTGAACATACAAGTAAAATCAAGTTTAACAGTAGTCTACAACTTTTTGTCCCAGCAATGATCTGGACCTCTTCCCATCCTGGAAATGCTTTGTGTCCTGGTTGGCAAACCATACTTCCTACACTCAGAAGTGGTTTGGTTTGTGGGTTTTTTTTGTGACAACAAAGTTGATGGTTTGTAGCAGAAGCTCACTGGATAATACTTGACTGGTTTTCTGTTCTTTCTTTTCTCTTCTTGCTTACCAGTACTGGAACTCAGTTGCTTCCCAGCTACTTAGAGGGTGCAAACCACCTTTCATGAATCATATCCGCAAATGTATTGAATTTCACAAGACATTATTGCATTTCATAGTGTGTAGGAATATAGGCTGTAACTTCTGTGACCAGCTGTGTATTCCTCAATGTGTATATTAAACTCTTGATCTTGTATATTGGTTGTTTCTTTTGTACCAGAGGTATTGTGAAACAGGCTGTTCAAGGGATCAGTTCCAGTGCTCCAATGGTCAGTGCATATCAGCGAAGTGGAAATGTGATGGTCACGAGGACTGCAAACTTGGGGATGACGAGAAAAATTGTGTACCAGGTATTGATTTAAGTAATGTTGAGAAACAAAATGAAGGAGGGAATAAATCAAGAGTAAAAGAAGAAAATAAATCAACTAATAAATATTTCCTGGGCACTAGAAGTAAAGGGAAGTGCAAAGAAATCTGAAATACTTTACCATTTGAGTGTGTATCATTGCGTCTTCCTACTTGTGTTTTGAAAACCCCACTTGTGTACAGCTATGCGATATGTATCTTTTTGGGGGAATGGTATTTAACTATGTTGAAAAGTAATTTGATAATATATACTCAGCATGTAAAATTCTGCTCTGAAAACACTAGTAAGTCTTGGCATGTTACTGAAGTGTCTATGGCATGTTTTTCACTTTGTGGTGTTCATTCAAAGATTACTAGTCCTTATGAAAAATTATTTTCTCTACCAAATTATTATTTTTGTTGTTATTATTTTATTTCCTTTTTACTCTCTTGGAAAATATACCTGTTTATAGTTGTAGGATTTTTCCTAAGTTTTTTGTAATTTGCTTCTAGATGAGTACAACAAAATAGAAGTCTCTGACAAAACTCCCCTGGTTTAAAACGTGACTAGAATATCCACCTATATTTTAAATAAAATTGGTTAATATTTTTTAATTTTAACTGGAATAATGTATACTTGCTGAACCCATGTTTTATTGTAAATTTTGGCTTATTTAATTATAAGCATCCATATAATTTTAGCTAAAGCCCTTTTTAAAAAACTATAGTCATTCTATGAATAGGTACTTTTATTACCAAGTGTAAGGAAAACATAAAAAGAAATTTCTCAGTGATAAAACACAAAATATCCTTTCACTATCGTTATACAGTTCAGTTTTGTCAAATCTTTGACTGCAGTTTAAAAAAAAGTTTGGAAAAGCTCTGCTCAGCTACAGACGCAGGTTTGCTCACTATATTAGCCAGAGGAAAACTTTAAATTATAAACCAAATTATTCATAAATTGTCTTTTTCTTAATGCTAAAATATGTGTTTGTAACCAGCATCTCCAACCTGCTCTTCAAGTGAGTACGTGTGTGCAAGTGGAGGCTGCATTTCAGCATCTTTGAAGTGCAATGGAGAGTACGACTGTGCTGATGGATCTGATGAGGTACCGGAACAAATTTCTCTTGATTTTTTTTTTTTTTACAGTTTTAAGTCCCAAGTTAATTGAAAGGGCAAATATGGTTTTATTGCATCCATTAAACACTGTCAGATAACTTAACCTCATGACTTTACACTGCGTTATGTTTGTTTGCTCTGTGGCCACCTCTTGGAGTAGATGAATTTGTTCTTCCTAAGTCAAAACTTGAGCATGGTTCTGCAAGAGTTTGCATCAGGGACTACTCTGTACTGGCAACGTGGACAAATTTGTGGCAAATTTGGCTCCCTCTGTCCTCTAGATTCTTCTAATACAACCGTAGCAGGCATCTCAACCTCCAGGTGCCTTTAGGCCTTGCTCTTCCTACATCGTGCACTGTTGTTATCTATTTAAGAAATCATCACCTTCATAAACAACTTCAAGCTAAAAAAAACCCAGAAATAGTTGTTATTTCTCATAACCATAAAGGTACCAGTTATGTATAACTTAATGTGAATATAATAATATAATATGAAGGATGCTTGAGCCAAGTGCTGCACAGTGCAGGTGAAGACAATCCGCTCTGGAGGTTCCTAGTCCTGGTCAATGGGGCTATGAGCCAGTTCACACTATTGGCCTCACACCCAGGGTTGTTTCTTGTAGGGCAGTTGACTTAGAGATGTAAATTGTTTCCATTGCTCATACAAGCAACATAAAGAAGAAATATCACAACATGTGAAATGTGGATACCATTTCACTTGCCCTTCTTCAGTAGCTATTTAAATTGCACATTGCATTGTCAGGGACAACTTCCTTGTACTAAATATGCAGGGCAATGAAAGTTGGGAAATTTTGTTGGGTTTGCCTTAAGTATGTTGTTCTCATTCATTAATATGTAGTTCACACCTGTTTTCACACAGATGGATTGTGTAACAGAATGTAAAGAAGATCAGTTTCGATGTAAAAATAAGGCCTACTGTATCCCTGTCAGATGGCTTTGTGATGGGATCCATGACTGTGTGGATGGCAGTGATGAAGAAAACTGTGACCAAGGCAAGAGACACTTCTCTTTAAAAGGCTTAGTTTATTGGACTTTTTATTAACACATATTGCAAGTTAGTGGTACCTTGGGCATTCCGAGTGATCAAAGGAAAGCTCTGTGACCTCTTTCAACAAGGACAGTACAGCAGCTTCACAAGTGATTTGCAGGAAGAAGCAAAACTTAAGTTGTTTATGACTCACATCATGTTCCTCCTTTGTGTTTCCTTCCCCAGTGATCAAAAGGTTGGGTTGTTACTGGAAACATATTCATTTTCATCAGGGAAATTAGTAATAAATCAAGTTAAGTTACAGTTATATAGGCAACAATAAATTACAAAGCCATGCACAATAAATTACAAAGCCATGCAATATAATGAACAGTTACTAAATAAGTAATCTTAAGACCCTGGGTTTCTATTTATTTCATAGAATCATAGAATGCTTTGAATTGGAAGGGACCTTAAAGTTCATCTTGCTCCAACCCCCTGCCATGTGCAGGGACAGCCCAGGTTACTCCAAGCTCCATCCAACCTGGCCTTGGACACTTCCAGGGATGGGGCAGCCACAGCTTCTCTGGGCAACCTGTGCCAGTGCTTCACCTTCGTGTTTGTGTTTGTCCAGGAGCTTCTTTTTCATGCACTCAGTCCCCTTGGCATTTTTGACTGACTTCTTCTTTTTTGGGATGCATCACTCCTGAGTTTGGAGAAGGTGATCCTTGAATATCCACCAGCTTTCTTGGGCCCCTCTTTCCTCCAGGGCTTTATCCCATGCCATTCTACCAAGCAGGTTCCCGAAGTGGACAAAGTCTTCTCAACTGAAGTCCAGAGCAGTGAGCTGGACTCAATATTTTTACTCAGTTTTACTCAGCATTTTTCTTTCCTGTTGTTTTTTTTTTCCAGATTTTTCTTCTTTCCTTTTCTTGCAATTGAGTAGTTCTGTGTGTTAGTCACATGTTATGTGTGTAAATTCAAAAGCATAATGGAGTACAATAAGTGATAATAACCATATAGGAAGCAAACAGAGTAAGATATCCTTTCCTTATTTTGTTCTAAATCTATTGAGCAATACTTTCCACTGGGGGGGGGGGAGGAGGGCAGAGAGATGTCTTATGGGTGTGATTGAGTTTGAAAAAGAGACCAGAAAATTCAGAAAATGGGAAGAATATTCCAGAGATGTTTAGGTGCAAGAAGACAGATACCAAAGTTTAAAAAACCCTTCTAGTCCATTTTAAAACTGCTTTTAAGATGTCTGGACTGTGTCTCTTTAAAAACCAGTGAAGTGTAGGTAAATAGTAACATTCTTATTTTCTCTGAAGCCACATTATTCTTTGGATAGCATAATAGAGCTTCTGTGAACTGCAAATTGCTTATAATGCAATAAGAACCCTCTTGCCTGGTTGGTTATTGCTATAATACTTTGTATTTATGTCACAATTATGATTCTGTTGCAGAAATCTATTTTATAAAGGAATTATGACAGCCCGAGCAATCACATGAAACAAATGCCAGTTTATCTTACTGATAACTATTTTTTTCATCTTTGGAAATACAGCAAACACAAATGGAGTTTTATTCTACAACATTCTAAAATAATATCCGTAATATTTATCTGTAGCCCACTGTGCATATTTATAAAAATAACTCTCTTCAGTCTTATTATACAGCTAGAATGATGGTTATACTGAGATTACACACAGAATTATTTATATTCATCTCTTTCATCCTGAAAAGTACTTTAATTTTATATATTTTCCTTGGATAATAATACAGGATATTTCTGTTAATGTTTATAAGTTATATTTGCAATGGGAGTGATTGGTAACATAATGTGAGAGTCCCAACATCCTCTTACACTACAGGTGTTTCACAGAAATTAATTTTCTGGGAAAAAAAATTAAACCATTCTGAACCTTTATAGCAAAAGAAAGCCTTCTGTTGGTGTTAATGGGGTGTGAACAGGGCACTGAATGAATAAGTAAAAAGACACTGGAGCCTGATCTAGCTCTTAGAGTGGGTGTAATGTGTTGAGCAAAGCCACAGCGAGAGTTTTGGCATTATCGTATAAAATTTCACTGTTTCCTCTTCTGCAGGTACACAGCTTTATTTCTTTTACACTCTCAGGAAACTGAGAAACAGTTACCATAAAAATGTGTTATATGGGAAATTAATTACAAGAACTTTTCATAACTTTGTTGATTGGTGGTGATAAAATTTAGGCGTAATTGTGAAACAAATTCCTTCTTACTGTTCCACATATTAAAACTGAATCCATCTTGAAAGTTTGATCACTCCACCTTAAAAGACTTTTCCTCACCCTGTGTTCCCTTTTGTTAGATGATTCATAGTTCACTCAATACTCCACGAAGTTACATGGAAAAATTTATTCTTGCTGCTTTCTATGTTCAGTAAATATCCTAATGAGAAATTTCAGAGTTACAAAAATGAAGATACTGTTAGAGGTCACCTAGTCTTGTCTGCTCAGTGCCTCCATGGCTAGATCTTTCCTAATTACAGCATTTTTAGGTGATGGGGATATTACAAGCCTGGCCAAGCTTTTTGCTCCTCAGAAGAAAAAGGTGCTACCTCACAGCTAATGGACTGCAATCACTTTGTTCTCTGTGTGTGGCTCAGAGTGTGGGAGTAGCAATAGATGGAGGATCAGACATTCACATGAAACAAACCTGGATTTAAGTGACCTTTCACACATTTGACTGAATTTCTGTCTTCTGTTTTATACCATTCTCTGATGGCACAAATTACTGATGTGCCCTTGCTGGGAGGCAGCATCACCAAGGGGAGTTACACACAGGTAGTTTAGGCATCTGGCTGAATGCAAGGGGAACATGTCTAGCTGGTGAGTTGTTGGTGTCTTTGATAACTGCCCTTTCTAGTCAGGCCAAACAGGTAATTCCCAGCCAACAGTCCTGAGAAGGAATGGTCAAGGAAGAGATTTTTTTAAATGCATGTTTCTCTCTACCTCTCTAACTCATTCATTTGGGATCTGTAAATTTAGCTATGCTACATGTGTCATTTTCTGCAAATGGTGTGTGATAAGTGGTTGTACTGGTTTTCTCAAAAGCTGACATTTTCTTTTGTCTTTCTGTTTTCCTGATTTTTTTTTTTTCTGTCTTCTTTTCATCTTCCCAGGGGGAAATATATGTAGAGCTGATGAGTTTTTGTGCAATAATTCCCTCTGCAAACTACATTTTTGGGTTTGTGATGGTGAGGATGACTGTGGAGATAACTCTGATGAAGTTGCTGAAATGTGTGGTATGACATTACATTTTTCAGTGCTTTCCATGTAATAAAGCAATAATAACATATACATAAATATATAGGGACACTTGTCTAAGTTTTGTTTATTTTGCTTTTAGAAGATTAGATATGATATTTGTGAAAAATTAATCTTTTTTTGTAGGAAGTCCACAGAAGGGTAAAAGTTACATCTACAGTGTGATATTTGATCATCATTACACTTGTTTTAATTCTTCTGTATTTATTGATTCTCAAAAAAGGTATAAATTACCCTTATCACAAAAAATAATTTCATTCCCTAAATGAAGAACTTACACTGTCAACACTGTTGAAGTGCTCTCCCGTGAGGTACCAGAAGTTAAAATCAAGCACAATTCGTATGTCAAGTACAACTGTGTTCCTGTGCCTGCTTATTGCTTTTGATAAGGAGACATTAAAAGAAGGTTTGTGAATGCCAGCTGGGTAATAGCTGATTCTTTTCTTTAATATGCAGTAAAGTTTCCATGCCCTCCAACAAGGCCGTTCAGATGTAGAAACAACAGGGTTTGTCTGCGACCTGAGCAGATTTGCAATGAGGTCGATGACTGTGGTGATAACTCGGATGAAGATCACTGTGGTAGGTGATATTACCTTTCAAGGCATTCAGATCAGAGAAAACAACTTGAAGGCAAACTTTGTTACAGAGATCTGCTTGTCCTTCAGTAAAGCTTAACTGGAGGTTAGTAGATCAGAATTTGAAACTGAAAGAAATTAAGCTTGAAGTTATTTCCAGTTGCTTAATGCTTTGTGGTCGTTCCCATTTGTGTGTGTCTAAAAAAAATCTGAGACTCTTAAATACTGATTTATTTTTCTCTTATTAATTTGTAATTATATAGATAAAATCACATACAAACCAAGACCATGTAAAAAAGATGAGTTTGCTTGTAATGATAAGAAATGTATTCCAATGGAGCTGCAGTGCGACTGGTTTGATGACTGTGGAGATGGTTCAGATGAGCAAGACTGCAAAATAAGTGAGTTTGGCTGACAAGATCTGTTTTTGTGATTGTAGCAGAAAAGAGACAATTAACTGAGACATTCATCTGTGCAAAACCTACTCAACAATGCAGAAGTTGGTTTAATCTAAAGTTATTTCTTTTAGTTAAAAAAAGGAGGTAGTTCTGTGCCACAAGAGAAAGGCAAGTTTTATGGCAATTCAAGCTGTAGTAGTTTTTAGAGTAGTTAAAAGTTCTTGATGAAATTTGAGTATAAGTTGATTGTATTTTGCTTCATATTTGCAACATGAAAAAATTTAATATTAAATTCTTGATATGAAATGTAGGATCTCAATTACATATTGTCAATTTGTATGCATATTTAGATAAAAACTGTGATGACATTTATTTGTTAAAAATTTACCTGATACTCTTAACAGAAAGTCAAATTTTTTATTTGTTGTTGTTACTTTAGGTTTCATTTTTAAGAGCTAAAACAAATCTATCGGGGATTATTTAGACACTTTGTTTATGTTTAGGTGTTGCTGAATATACATGTGAAGATAATGTGAATCCTTGTGGAGATGATGCATACTGTAATCAGACAAAAACATCCCTTTTGTGTCAGTGTAAACCTGGCTTTCAGAGAAACAGGAGGAATAGACAATGTGAAGGTACAGATATATTCCATCATCCCTTGCTTTAAAATATTAAAAGTCAACTGTGTAGTCAGTTTTCTGTGCCAGAGAAGGAGATACATAACACATACTTTTTTCCACAGAGTAAAAGTTGTTCCATAGCAATGGGATTAAGAAATAAAAAAAAAAAAAAAAAAAGATTTATAGGATGTAGATTCACACTCTTTACCTGGAGAGGTTATCAAAGATTAACATTCATTATGAATGTCAAAAGGTTCAAGTCAGACAATTAAATAATTCCAGGGGTAAATGCGTGATTTGAGGTCTAGTAGATTATTTAACTGAGCATTTGAGATTAGCGTTTAAACTGACATATGAAAATAATTAAGGGGCTTAAAATAATGAAGATGCATTAAAAAAAATTGAAATTGAAATAAACAGATAGAAAGTTAAATCCCTTAGAAAATGTTGTCTTGATATATATGATGCCATACTGGTTAGGAAGAAGACATAGTTGTTATAATGGAAGGGTTGATTGGAAAGATAAGATAAATCTGCCTTCCCAGAGAATAGGTTGTGAATTCATTTTCTTACTGGTGAGCAGTAATTTACAGAATTTCAGATCACTCCAATGGAACTATCAAAGTGAATATATAATTCATTGTTTGGCTCTTAAGGAAACAGTATTAAGAGGAACTTTTCCAGTAGAGGAGGATCATGTAGTTTTGACTGTACCAGAGGTAGGTATGCTGGACATAATTGTAGCAAATATTAACTCCAAATATTTTATTGTCAGAGTTGATTTCAAGTTCTAATAATGACAGATTGATATATGAAGGATGGAGAAATAATATTAAAAAAAGAAATCTGTCTGAGTTGTGTTGATTGCAGTGGAAATAGCATTAGTGATAATTGCAAAGGTTTTCCTTTTACTGTTGCAAGATATACTAGTGCTTACAAGTTCCTTTTGTTCACCTCCTTTGTTCCATGCTCTTATGAACATGTTGAATAATAGTGTTTTAAACTATAGGTATATAAATGACAATTCTTTTCTCCATAGATATCAATGAGTGTATGGTATTTGGTGCCTGCTCCCAACACTGCAGTAATATTAAGGGATCATACAGATGTGCATGTGAGAAAAATTATAAGGAGAGGAATAACAGTTGCATAGCAAAAGGTAAGACTATAAAAATCAAACTAGAGAGACAGTACTAAATCACTGTTTATGTACCTGGTTGGTAACACTAATGTGTTGCAGATACTATTTATTTTTAGATAAATATTTCTTGAATAGTTCACAGAAATAACTCTCAAAACCACCCAGCCTTACTTTTCATTTCAGTAAGCAATAAGTTCTTATAACTTCTATGTAAATGAACTTACTTAATTTGAAAGCCCATTTCCAACTCCAGCTTTTCTATTTACAACAATATATACACAAATAAAAAAAACATTAGCAAGCACGTAAGCATGTGAAGCTTTAGAAACTTGAGGGAAGAATCAACTCCATGATAGAAACGTATTTTAGAATTCTAGGAGTAAATTAAGTAGCATTTGGAGTTAATATTTTTTGCTTTGTGTTGAGAAATTCTACAGAAATTGTTTAAGTGGAGTTTTTTTAAGTATAATGAGCTTATTATGTACCCTTATATAAATCAGCTGCCTAGATCGTGGTCCAGTGAAGGAAAAGAAATAAGTACACAGAGATGTTATTTCTGTTGTTCATAAGGCAGAGGTATTGCGCAAAATGGAGGTGATTGTGAAGTCTGGCTGTTATTTAACTTATAAATCATGAAACAAGGAATAATACAGCTCACATAATCTTTATGGGTCTGTATCTGGATAATTCAAAGTGTGATCACAGCATCTCACCTGCAATTTAGTGAGATTTTGGTGTGACTTGGAGTCTTTAGTGCAGAATGAGTGTTGAAGTTACAAGGTATGGCTCCTTCTACACCCTTGTGCACAAACCTGAGCAGCACCTGATCTGAACTTTATGGCCAGAGAGCTCATCTTGTGTCCATACTCCTATACAACATGGACTCTATCAGGGTTTATCATCATTACCTATTGCTAAAGAAGTCAGATTATGACATGGGAACAAACAAGGTTACTAACTGAGGATAGTGGTTTGTTATTATAGAAACACAGACGTAATTCTGTGATATAATTCATAAATTCGTCATTTTAAAATCTGGGAATCGTTATCCTAAATCTGAATTTTTCACAAGCTTCATTTCCATTGTAATCAAGTTAATTTTTCTCTTTTTCCCTCATTGATACTTGCTTTAATAAAACTCCTCTTTGTTGTTGCATTTATCAAGAGGAAGGGAACAAATGATGTTTGATATTTCATACTAACAAGGAGCAAGTGTGTTGGACAGACATTATTATAATTTGATTCTCTATGGATGAATGTGATATGAACTGGGAAATAAAAAGAATAATACAAATGCATTCTAATGTATCCAGCAGATTTTAAACTTTCTCAAAACTTAATAAATGGATACTAAACAGCATTTCTTTATGAATAATAAACTTTACAAGATCTGAATCAAGATGGTAACTGGGTGTCCATTAATATCACCCTTTCAGAGGTATCCGTGTTTACTTTCTGAAATGAGGAGGGGTAAGACAAAACTGCACAGGTTCTGTTGCAGTTAATTTCAAAACCACTGCCTTCCCTAAAGATAAAATCATTCCATTTCTAATTTCCAATTAAGCAATTTGAAAAAATGTTTATTGACAACTCTATGTTCCTTTAGTATATACATTTAGGACCCCCTAAAGAGAGCATGCATATAAAAATATGGGTTCCATATGGGCTTAATGCATAATATCCTGTATTTTTGTATACTGCTTAAAAGTGTTCAAATTCTTATATTGAATACTCCTTAAAATATAGTCTTAGGTGTCACACTATGAGTTTGGAGAGCTCTGAAGTGATGTATATTGATATCAGAGTATCAAGAGTTACATTTATTGCCCAGACTGTGAGTGTTTTTGCAGTCTTCAACAACCAGAAATTAATTTTAATGTAAGAAATTATATCAGATAAACACCAGAAAGCTACTTGAGTGAAAACCACTGATTTTTGCATTAGTTGACATTTACCTTATTTTTGTTTCATTATAATAATCCCTAGGCTCTGAAGATCAAGTTCTCTATGTTGCTAATGACACTGACATCCTGGGTTTTGCATATCCATTCAACTACAGTGATGCTCATCAGCAAATATCACATATTGAACATAATTCAAGAATAACTGGAATGGATGCATATTTTCGAGGGGATATGATTGTTTGGAGTACTCAGTTTAATCCAGGAGGGATTTTCTACAGAAAACTTCACGACAGAGAGAGAAGGCAAAGTAACAGTGGCTTGATAGTAAGTGATCAAAATCAAAGATTAAATGACACAAATTTATTTTGATTTATTTTTCTGTTTTAATAATATGTGCTAATTTAGTAAATTAAAATGTCTGCCTGAGAATGATTTTATTTCAACTGTATTTATGGGTACTAATGCCTTTCCATGCAAGACTCTGACAGACTTGGTGGAGTCTCTAGGAGAACACAACTGTAGTATTTGAAAAGCTTTTCTACAGAAAAATAACCAGTATATTAGAAGCTTAGAAATCTTTTATTTTAACAGAGAAAAGAGAAAATGTAATAGAGTTATTTAAGAAGAAAGGCATAAATTTCAAATCCTTGGAAGACAGAAAATGTAAATAGGCTAAAGACAACCTTGATTTCTGTAGTGGCCATGCAAACAATAATAGGCAAAGCTATGACATACATTTAAAAATGGGAACAGTGAGTATTTAGTCCTTTATATGTTGAACTGCATGGCATCTTCCTTTGAATAACCATAAATGTAAGTTTGCATTTTACAGCAGAAATGTGAATTTTTCTAAACTGGGGTGATTTCAAATGATCTTAACTTGAAAGTAAAATAAATGCAGATTGATACTCATTTTGCCAAATATATTTCTACAATATATGATAGCGTTGAACTGAAGATAACAATGCTGTCTTTGCTTTGGTGTTTCTATAATGCTGTAAATTTAGATGTTGGGTTCTTTTACTCTTAAATTGATAGAGTACAATAGAGTTTTTAGTTTTTTTCTTGGCCAGTAATAAATCCAGTTAAAAGTAATACCTGTCTGGCATGTTTCCTTAAGCTTAGGAGAGGTGACAGCGATGACCTTCCATCACATGAATACTTTTTTATGCCCAGCTGAATAAACAGTAGTAGCAAGAGTAGGCTAATCTTTCATCTATAATTCATACACATCTGTAACCACTTCTAAGTACATTCCATTCAAGGATATTTCCTTTCCAAATGAATGACATTCCTGACCTTTGATACCAGCAGAGCAAAAAGCCTGAGGATGTAAACACCAATAGACACTGAAGGTAGCTTGTGTCTGTGATAACACCTTATATGAGAAGAGTGGTTTAAAACCAACATTTCCACCTGCCCAGCAGAGGAGTCTATATTTTGTTGATGGAAAGTGTATGTAAAGTAGATCTGAAGTGGAAAATAATTCCTAGCATTTCCAGTAGGTCAGCTCTGTCATTGGAGTTTTGCAGAAGGATACTTGTATTGAAGATGTGGAATAATTCTACTGTGGTGTTTTTCTTATTTAAATGTGGCAGAAATCTTGACAGACAGATCTCTGTATTGAGTTCATGATTAGAAAGTAATGAACTTGTAAAGTCTTGTGAAATTAGTGTTGAGGGGGTGTTATTTATTTTTTTTTTCTCTTTTTTTTTTGGTAATATGCAGATGCATTCTGCAATTATAAGAGTAGCCTGCTGACCCACCACCTTTCTAATGGACTTACATTTTCTTAAGGGTCTTTAAAATTTAACATAAGCTTCCTTGACACTTCTTTGTAGTCACGGTTTTGAAATTTTCACAGCTGATTTGTCACTGTCTCCCTGTTTAAACTAATAAAAAATAAAGTATTCTTAGAATTACTGTTTTTCTAATGTACTGAAATAGCTTTTCCATTTTGTATCTCTGTTTCACCATTATATGAGAATACTTTTTAGTCAGTCGCTTCCTTTTCAATTCAAAATTATTGAAAAAATGATATCTTTCTTTATATACCACCTTCTCCTGTCTCCTCAGTGTGGGTAGGTCCTCGTGATGATGTTGATCCAAGCCATACAAAGCCATTTACAAATCTGTTTGTGGAAAATGCATAGATTGTATTTGAATATATCTTGGAAACTTGTCATTTATATTTGTGAAACATTCACTTCTCATTGTACTAAACTTTTGTTATTTTCCCAGCATTATCTCATAAATACTCAAATATTTTTGCCTTATATACAACTGATCAGTAGGTTAATTGGTTTTAGTGTTGCTTTAAAATTGTCATTGAAATTCAGTTTTAAAAAGCTTGAGAATTTCTTAATTTTAACCCAAGTTTTTTAATGGATAAGTTTTCAAAGGTTACATTATAACTTTTATATCTAGACTTTGATATGTAAATCAGGACAGTAAACTTGAACAAAGTCACCTGCATTTTCAGGTAATTACATTAATGCAAAAATCCATCTCAACCAAAATTGCTCCATGGAATTAGCATATCAAGAGCCTTCCTCAGAGAATAGCTTTAAGTAGCTCTCCTGTTTTCCTGTGAAAAGGGGTTTAAGCTTGGTACAAATTGAAGCATTAAAGGAAATAGTAAATATCAACTCTTCAGAGTTTATTGACAGATGGAGAAGAGGATTTAATTCCAATGGAGTTCAGACAATCTAAGTGAATTGTGATAACTGGTGCAGCTGTTTACTGGCATAATCCTTGGAGAGAGATGTACAAGTTATCTGAGGTGAATACTCAACATGGAGTGACCTCACACCTTAACTCAAGTGCTGTTTCTTATGGAAGAGGACAAAAAGCTGAATATTAAAATAATTGCACCATATAACAGGGAAGGAAACAAGTTTTGTAGTGTGTTCAGTCAGTATATAGCAGCTTGCTCCAGTCCCAGAGCTCTGGGAATTTAACAAGGACCCTTAACCACTCTTGAGATTAATCCACATATATTCTCCCAAGGGCTACCCCTGGGCCCATTGGAATGCAGGGCATCCCTGGGAATGCTCCTAAACTGCTCTCTCTAAACAGCACTAATTTATGGTTTTACTTAGAGCTATAGCTCTAAGGATGTGGATGATGGTTGTGTACTTAGGAGACCTCTTCTATCTGGAATCAGCTGGTTGGGATTTTTAAATAATCCTACTTACATAATACAAATGGTGATTTGGTGAACCACTGCACCTACTGGGGTGATCATCTGGCAAAGAAAACTTTGTTTTGGTGAGAAAAACTCTAAAAGTTTTCTAGTATTATTGTTTTTCTTTTTTATTTATTTATTTTTTTACTGTTCTACTATTTTTTGAAGTTATTTTAAGCAAAAATAAAACATTTATATACGTTGTTTCATAGCAATTCCATGCTAAGAAGATCTGTAAAGGAAATAAGATAAAATATTGCTTCACATATGTTTTATGTTGGAAATTAGATTTATCAGTTTGTCTTCCTGTTAAGCATTGCAAAGTGATGGATTCCTGCTGCATGTGTAGCATATTTTCGCCAGTCAAACTCAGCTTTAGGGACTAAAAATTTTTCTGTAATCCAGTATTATATCCAAGTGGTTTCCAGATCCAAGCTGTTACAGTAGCTTCTATTTTTCTTTTTTGTTTGTTTGTTTGGGGGGAGGTTGTGGGGTTTTTTGGGTTTTTGTTTGGGGTTTTTTTGCTGTTGTGGTTGGTTTTGGGGTGATTTTTTGTTATTAATTCTTTACCTTGAAAGCAGATTTTACAACAGACAGCAGTTCTGATCAAAAGTTATCAAGATGACATAGTCTGTAGTTCTTCAGACAACATGTGCAAACTATAAAAGGTGATTAGGCTACAAACTCCAATTTCTCTAATAAGTTGGAGTACATTATATTTAGCATCAAAGTGGGCTAAAATCACTGTGGAAAATATTAATGTGATTTTCTTCCTGTATTTTCCTCCTTGGTCTGTATGCAAAATCATTCTTCAAAAATTAGCATAATCCAAATAAGCTATTAGGTAAGAGCTCATTTACAGTAAGTAATTTTCCTAGACAGTATGAGAAGATGCACAAGACCTCAAGAATGTGATATGGTGAGGCTGAAATTTAATGAACACAGCTGAGAATTACACAGCCATAGCATCAACTAGTAGTTTTTGTTACCTTTTTTAAATCCCTCACATCAGATGCCCCCTTTTCATTTCTTCTGGTTATCTCTTAGTTTGTTAGATGCACCCCAGCATTCCTGGGATTTTACTTCTCCTGTGTAGCAGAGAAGAAAGGGTCAGTGTTACTAAGCAACCCTATCCTTGTTCCAGGATCTTTTTAGGATGTCCCCTTGTCTCCTCTGCTTCTACTACCAGCAATTTGGGAACCGTTCCTTACTCTGCTTGCTAACTCTTGTCATCTGCTTTACCAGGTTCCAAAAAGAGCCAATCTTACTGTAAACTGTGGGTCTTGAACAGTCTAGAAAAAGGCAAGGAACCATGCTGGCCATGATAGCTGCTCTTCTTTTTAAAAGGATTTTTGGTTCCAGCCTGGTAAACCAGTGCCATTAACCCTTGCGGTAGCCAAATTAGTAACTGGAGAGGTCCAGGTATGAGAGGCTTCTTGACATAGGTGCCTGAATATTACCCAGAATTAAAAGGAGTTTGGATTGGAAATACAATTACCCTTACCTGAAAACACCCACATTTCTGGATATCTTGTCCTTTATATGAATGTTACCTGGATAGTAACAAAGAAAAAAAAATGGTTGTTCCATGCAAATGGAAAAAATTTTGTAGTATTTCTGGAAGCATCATGCTGCCAGTATCATGGTTTCTTACCAAAGAATTATGATACAGTATTTTTTTTAACTTGAAAAGCCGACAGTGACCCTGGTTTTAAAGAGATACTGTTTTGTACATGCAGTGATTGATTTTACTGATTTAATATTCATCTAAATAGAAAATCAAGGTTCTATATATCTATGGAACATGCATTCTATTACATCTTTGCAGAATTAAAGGTTTATGAACAATGAACTATCTAAATTCACCCTTGCAGTCCTTTTTCACCTAGAGAATGAAATGACCTTTATTTTATGATGAAAATAGTCTACAAATGTCTTGTGGTATTAGGAACTCTGACACCTGAGGAAAACAACTTGTTTTAGGATTTTCTTTCCTGGTTTTCAGTTATGTAGCTTAATAGCCTTCCATTGCTTCATTTGTCAAGGAATAGATGGTTTTTGTTCATAATTTAACTTGATGTTAAATAGCTAAACAGGCAAACAATTTTATATGTATTTAGCTCATGCTGGTCTTGAATTTTTTATGATATGCTGCATTCATGTTAGAAATAATTGGGTAATTCTGTTTTACAGGTTTACTCCTTTCTGCAGGAATTCCAGTAACTTGTTCATATATATCTCCTATTTGCAATATGAACTTCTATCCTAAGGACCTTTTTTTATATCTAGGTCTTAATGATAACTGTGAAATTGTGACAGAGGTACTATAGTTTATAAATTTAATGTTATAATCAGTCAAGCCTTTTTTACATGTGAAGCTTAATATTGCTGAATACAGAGGGAACTCTAAATGCAGTGATTTTCTTTACCCTTGGCACACTGCTGAGCAGCCACACCTTGGGATGGGCTTCCACAGTGTTTTTCACTGAGGGCTTTGGGATGAGAATCATACCATAGCTCTGCATGGAGTATAATAGCTGTATAATCTTAGCACTTCCTTTTCCTTTCATTTTGGATTGCAGTCTATAATATTTCTTTGCTTCAGTATCAATAGTTCAAGTAGTTGCTCCCAAAGTGTCTTTTCCTTAGTGTAGGTAGCCTTGAAAAAACAATTTTGAACCATTGACTTGTTCTTCTGCATTGACTAGAACTGTCAGCAGATCCTTTAGAGCTGATCTCCTGCAGGTGGTGTTCAGGTCTTTCCATTTCTGTGTTTTTAAATATTTCATTATATTAAAGGTAAAAGTTACTTAACTGTAAAAAGTTACATGGATCTTTGACTGTGCAGCTGCTGAGAAAGATCATTTCCATAATTATGACAGTAACATCTGTTCCTTTTAGTGCCCAGAATTCAAAAGGCCCAGGGGCATTGCTGTTGACTGGGTGACTGGAAATATTTACTGGACTGATCACTCCCGGATGCATTGGTTCAGCTACTACACCACTCACTGGACCAGCCTGAGATACTCCATCAATGTGGGTCAACTGAACGGGCCCAACTGCACCAGGCTCCTCACAAGCATGGCAGGAGAACCATATGCAATTGCTGTAAATCCTAAAAGGGGGTATGTGTGTTGCAACATTACTCTGTTTCGGTGATTCAGACAAAAATTGCGAAGTAGAGTAAGAGAAAGTTATGATGCTTCAAATGTCTAATCTTTTCCAAGTCATTTACTTCATTTTCCTGCTCAGTTTACCTGTATGTAAGCCAGGCTCAGTTACCTCCCATCTGTCAGGAAGGCTGAAAGGCTCATAATAATTTAGTATGGCTCATAATAGTTTATAATTTAGTGAAGTGTTTTGAGGTTCTGTGTTGGCATCAAGCTTAATTTTTGCTTCATACTTTTAGGATGATGTACTGGACAGTTATTGGGGATCGCTCTCACATAGAGGAATCATCTATGGATGGTACTCTGAGAAGGATATTGGTTCAAAAGAACTTACAAAGACCTACAGGTATATGGCTTATCATTTTTCTTAAATACACTTGGTAACTCACAGATTTCAGTTTCTCAGTTTAAAACAACAACAAACAAACAAAAACAAAAAAACCAAAGCAAAACCAACAAAGAAACACCACCCCTCCCCTTAAAATAAAACAAAAAGCCAAACCAAAAAGACCAAAACTTTTGAAAATATGTGTTCTGGTTATTCATACGCAGTTCTGTTCAGACTCTTAGTTCTGTTTTCAAATGATGCATCTTGAAAAGACTAACTTTTGTAACAAAGCTTAACATGGTTTAACAAATCAGTACAAAGTACTGTATATAACCAGTTAAAATGTTAGTTCTTCAATAACACTGAACAAGCAAAAGCAATTAAGGGAACACCAGTTAGTGGTGAAACACATTTTTTTTAAGAACGCATTTGCAATCTCACAGCCTATTCCAGTTACTTTCCTGAATACACTGCAAAATAGTACAAAACAAGATCTAGGTGCTCAAAGAAGCAACAACTTAATTATTTCCGTATTTTATAGAACTATTGTGAAGTTTGACAGTACTTGTTGAGATCTTGTGAATTGCATTAAAGACTCCATTGGCAGCATAAAAGTGATTTTTACAACAAAGGAAATCATAAATCCAAAATGAAATGTGTCTCTTAAATAGCAGAATCCTGTCTTGAATCTACAGATGATTTTTTTTCATAACCCATTTTCTCATGCAATATTTGTTGTTTCTCCAGGCTTACAATGATAATTTTTTGTTATTGCTTGCAAATTAGGGGTTGTCCAACCTTAGTAAGCATTTCTATTGAAACATGCTTCTTTCAAGGGGAACCATCTGAATATCTAAGCACTTCAGGAGCTGCCACTGTCACAGCAACAAATAATAATATTTTAACCTCTTGTTAAATCATGTACTAAGGGGGGTTTATGGTGTTGTTTATGCAAATTATACTCAGCCCTTAAAGGAAACACTCTGTTGACATGGTTAGATTGTAGTATAGCCACTTAAAAAATTACATATGTGATAAGGAAAACTTTTTGGAGAAGGAAGCACAATGGTAATGGTAATACCATACATAGTAAAAAATAAATTCAGTAAGAAGCTCCTGGTTATTCAGACTGAAATACAACAGAATTTTATATTTATCAAAGTTGTTACATATTCTTTACTGAACTTTTATAAGACATTGTGAGCATATCAGATACACAGTTCATTAGATTTAGACCTAATTACTGTAATTGTGGGTTTTTTTATCTCTTGTTATCATGGTTAATCACAAATGGCAATGTCCTACAGAACAAGTCACCACTTCCTTGGTCAAAAGGGCATTTAACCCCTTTTTTTGGCCATCCCTTTTGGATTAGTGAACTTACTAAATTTTGTAGGTAGTAACAATATCAAACTAACCTGAAAATGCAAACAATGACTTATTCCCTGACCAGAAGCAGAAATACAAGAACTTCTCTTCTTAAATTTCCCATGGTATATTCTATATAGAAAAGATTCCTGCAAATATTTAACCAGACCTCTGTCTCCTTACAAAGGTGAATAAAATGAAAATTAAGAAAATCAGCAGAATTACAATAATATGAGCAGTCTTTGCAAAGAGGGAATTTCACGAATGGCTTGCCAGAGTATTGCATTTTCCTGTACTTACTGCCTGAAAACATTTCTGTGACATCCTTCTGTGCTTATTTTCTTCTTTTACTTCATGGTAGAAAGTAGATGTTTATGGAGTCTTTTAATTTTTTGTCAGATATTTCACACAGATCCATGTCTTTGTAGAGGGAATGCAAAGAAAGAATCCAAACCTTTAATGTTTTCTCCCAAATAAGACTTTACTACTCATAAATTTACTGCTCATAAATTTATTACTGCATATGCCTTTCCTATTTCATGTAAAAGGAAGGGAGAATTTAAGCATTTGGACTCGACTTCATAGGTTTTCCATAGAAATTACTTACACGGGAGTTCTATATGTATAAAACAAAAATAAACACTTTTTTTGCAGTGTCTTATCTCCGATACTGTGAAAGATACATTGAGAATATTATTTATTTATTATTATAGTATTTGAATATTCTTATTAAAATGCAAAGAATAATTTAAAGCTTGAGCATGGGGACTGCTCCTAAAACATTCTCCCTTACAGGTACCATGTATCACAAAGAACTGACACATTGTGATTGCCTTTTACCAGAAATTATTCTCTTTAGCTGTATCCCTGAAGACCAGTGTTTCTTTAACAGGGGCTTTTTTTTTTTTAATGGAATTTCAAATGTAAACATATTTCACTAGTTTATGAGTCACTTTCTCCACTTCCTCTCATCTATCTCTCGCTGATTAATTTATGACCTTAAAAGGAGTATTTTTGCTGTTATGTATAATTTCTTTTGATGTATTTTTTCTGACTTACCTACATACATAAACAGGAAGAAAAATACTTTTTCTCCTATTCTTATTAAAAACACACTACAACTTCAAAAGCTCAGAGTGAAATTATTTTATGGTTCAAATATTTTTTCCGGCTGAAGCTTTTGACATGACCTAAAATGGCATATTAATCATTTAATCATCCCCTATGAAACACGGGCTACTTGATTTAACTATTTAGCTATTGCCTAAAGGCTGGGTAGTCACAATGTTATCTACCTTTTATTCTCATTTGTGCTCTCAGACACTCACTCTTGTGCTTTCTTTTCGTATATAACTTGTGCTTTCTTTTCATATGTACACGTTTGTTAATATTGCTGGGTAAGTCCTGCAGCACTAATATAGTTAAAATAATCTGATTTTTAATTCTATAATAATTACTGCACGTGAAGTATTGCTGATAAGAACAAGAACACAGTTATATACCTGTGGAAACTGGGTAAGTCAGGAAAATTCTGTGAATTTTTATTGCCTTGTTTTTGACATTCAGTGACACCGGTGCTGCCGCTTAGAAATCTATTGGAATAACGGATTTCTGTTGGTAAAGCAAGTTAGAGGATTAGATTCCATGTTTAATTCCCACCTGGTATATATCCCTACCTGCTGAGGATAATGGGTTAGGAAAGGTACTGACCTTGACACAGTAAGTTAAAGAAAGTAAAAAACCACAGTTGCCCCAAGAGGAAGGTTTCAGTAGAAGGTGTTACATTTTATTGTCCTTGGTTTCCAGTCGAGTTTTTTCCATTGTCACCATATTTTTTGTACACAAAGATATACATGATATAAAAATGTACCATTATGTAAAAATAACATTTTCTTTCTAGTTTTTATATACCTATTTGAACTTTATCTTCTTTGTAGGCCTCGTAGTTGATCAGTTCAGTCAGCGCCTGTTCTGGGCTGATTTTGAATTATCTGTTATTGGGAGTGTCCTTTTTGATGGTTCTGACTCAGTTGTGTCTGTGAGCACTAAACAAGGTATGGAGAGCTTTTCTGTAACCTGATTCCTATTTTCTTTTGTTTGGCTGAAGTTTCACTATTCAGAGAAAGTGTGTAAACAAAAAGCAGTTATTATTAAGTAATATTTATTGGTTTTATTAGACAATACTTCAGATATTATCTGAAAAAAATAGATGTATAAAATAAGATAATTTTAGCTTTAAGATAATCTAATAAAATTACTTTCAGGGAACAATGATTCAATGGTATATGCCAAACTTCAAGATTTTTATCTAATCATTAGCTTTGGTATTATCAAATAACATTGTGGTTGATATTTAGGCTTGGTATCACTTGGACTTATGTAGCAACAGGAGAACCTTGATTAAGAAATTAGAGCTGTCTGCATTGAACAGAAGTTGTGGAGTTTGTAGAACAGTTGATCTGAATCAGTTCTGGGAGAAATAATGGGCTTGGCTTTCAGGTCAGCAAGTAATCACAGAATTCTCCTAACTGAATGTGAATGAGGAAAGTTCCCTTGGTAAGAAAAGAGATTCTGGTTAAGCAAACTTTGTTTTTATAGAACTGCATGTTGGTTTTTTAACAATTTGTTAGGTGACAATTTATGAGTAGAAAAGAGAGAGAACAGATTTTAAAAAAAAAACATTTGATAGCAGGCTTTTGGGGAGAATCACTTAGTGGGCAGCTGGTGCTGGGGTTTCATCAGGGTGGTGTCACATCTAGTGCTCTTGAATTTTTTCACTAATTGTCCAGAATTCACCAGGGTGTTCTGGAATATACTGGGAGAATACTCCCACAATCCAGATTGGGCAGGACCAGATTTAAATCATCCTATTTTGGTTTTAAAGCATATTCTTCCATAACTCGAAGGTAGTCATCTGAATAAAGATCCTTTGAGTGTAGGAATCTGACAACAGCCTCCTGTAACACTGAACCAAAGGAAATTTGAAGGAGTTTCGAAATTGCTTTACCATGAGACTAAAAACTTCAACCAATTTAATTAAGTAAACATAAAATAATGAATTGGAATTTAGAGATTTTTTTATTGAAATAAAATACTGAGTACAAAGTATTGATAGCATGAAAGAACAGTAGGAAGAAATAAAGGCTGATAGTTGAAATTAAATAAATGCAACTGAAATACAAAACCAGTTTTAGTGTAAATGGAGATAATAGCAGGGACAAAGTATCACAAGGGATGATAGATTCTGTTTCTTTATGGCTCCAAGAAGAGATGGATCTCTGACAAAGAGGTTTTAATCAGAAGCCATTGCCTTGTTACCTGGGTAAATGTGTGAAATTCCACAGCCAGCTGTGCATAGGAAATAAAGCCATGTGGTCTAATAGGCCCTCATAGCTCTTAAAAATGAGGAATTAGTAAAGGTAACAATTTATTTTACATTAATTTGCTATAATTATGAATTAAAATACATGTAGTAGAAGAACTAGCATTTCAAATATGTGAAGAAGGAGCTGAAGTAGTTTCTTTGATTTAAAGCAAAATTATCTGTTTCTTCCTTGTCACATACTTCTAGTTAAAGTGTTGTACCTGAGTATGTTCTAATTAACAAGCTGCTGCTGTAGAGTTTCCCCACTTTTCAATAATCACCCAGTTTCTGAGGCTGAATTGTGTGGAAAACTAATAGAAAGCTTGAGATTTTAGTTGCTTGCAGTGTGGAAGAGTTCTTTTTAAGCAGATTGGCTTTTTCTAGACAGCCTTTGTGGGTGCAAAACCAGCTGTCTGAATAACAGTAATGTCTTTAGGTGGTAATCGTAGAAATGCAATTGAAGTTATTATGAAGACAAAGTTATTTATTATTTGAATATGAATTTTTATTTATTATCCATTTTTATTCAAGGTTTGCTGCATCCACATAGAATCGACATTTTTGAGGATTACATATATGGAGCAGGTCCTAAAAATGGTGCATTTAGAGTACACAAATTTGGCAGGAGCCTTGTGGAATACCTAAGTGTGGATGTTGATAAAGCAAAAAGTGCCTTGATTTTTCACCGCTACAAACAGATGGACTGTGAGTAAGCATGATTACTGTAAACTCAATATTGAGCACATTCACCTGGGGGGAAGTAACCAAGTTGTACAAATATAAACCAGAAGCTGATTGCCCAAACTGAAAATAGATTTAGTTATATATATTTTTATATAAGCTCGATTTAGATTGTTTGATGCATTTTCACTCATTTGAAAGGATATTGGGCAAATGTGTACACAAATGCCTTTTGTACCTGCAATGTAAATGGGATATAAAAGAATTAGAAGAGGGCTGAATGCAAATAGCTCTAGCTAAAGGCAGATGAAGTTTTTTGTTCCATATTACCAATACATTTTTTGTTACTGGAGTAAATTCTGTCCGTCTGTGAGTCTTGCACTGCTGTTTGAGTGAGGGTGTTAATGAACTTTAAGCTGTTGACATTCTGGAAACTGGAAGTGTATCAGAATTTTTATATCTGATTATTTATCTTGTTCCAGCTTTAGAACAAAGTTGTAAATTCTAAAAATAAATAAATAAAATTAATATCTTTATTATTTTGTCTTTTTAAACAGTGCCTAATCCATGCTTGGACTTGACTTGTGAATTCATTTGTTTACTCAACCCTTCTGGTGCAACATGTGCTTGTCCAGAAGGAAAATCATTGATGAATGGAACATGCATTGATCAAAGCCTCTTAGGTAGGTACTGAAAACTGCATGAGAACTAGAACATAAACAGCTGGTCACTTTTTGTCATTGCAAAAGGCTGAGTTGTCTGAGAGTCCAGCTTTGTAATATTGTTCAATATACATGTTACTGAGCTGAAATGGAAAGAAAATATGGAGAAGCAAAATCCCAGATTCAAAAAAACACCCCTGCTAATATTCATCAAAATAAAAATTGAGCTTTCAACTGAAATGATACAAGATGATATTTAAAAGTGAGTGTCTATACATATTGACCAAAAGAAGCTTGAAAGGCTCTGAAGTGTTTCAGATCCCAAATTAAACATTAGCCATGTAGGAGCAGAAAAATAACCTTAAAGACCATCAAGAAACACCTCTGCTTGTACTGCAGCAACAGTCAAAGGGCAGTGAGAGCAACATAGCACATAAATGGCTGTGAAGTAGCAGACAAAGAAAGACAAAAACAACTGAAATATTTTTACCTAAAATTATATCTTTTGGTAACCTCTATAATGACTAATATCAAGTCACAGGAAACCAGACTTCATGGGAAAAGAGCTTCTAAGTTCTTGCTGTGGGGAAAATATTTTTTTTTTATAGAAGACTATTAAGTACTTTAAAACTGTTTTCACCCTAATTTGGGCTGAACCTAAGACGGTCAGACTGCTGGAATGAATTCATAGACAGCTTGAATTTTAAAATGTTCTAGAAGTCACAGGATAGTATTTCTTATGTGTATCATCCATATTAGGATGTTTTTCTGATGTCTAATTTCAGGCTCAGAAGTTTAAGTGGTAGATATTTGGGCGAGATCCTCAGTACTTAAAGTGCTTAATTTAGCAATTAAATTAATTTACCTGAAATGTCATAATGGTGTGGAGAAAATCTCACCGATCTCTACTGCCTACTCTTCAAATATTGAATTAACAGAACTGTGTTTTAGTAGTTTATAATGTGGTGTTAGTAAAGCTCCCAACTCTAAACACCCTCCCTGTCTCTCCAAGTGTCTCGTCAAGATTTTATGCTGATACAGCACCACCAAAAAAATTATTTCAAATTACCCATAGTTACTATTCAGGTGTTGAAGAATGGGCAAATAAAAGAATATTGTTTTTCACTGCTAAATTGCAGTAATTTGAGCCCATAATTTCAGCAATGCTACAATTTTACTAATGAGGCAAAGGATTAAGCCATGGTAATGTTTTTAGGAAGGTGTATTTTTATTTGAGAAAGAAGTGAAGAGGCTTTTAAATTACTTCACTGCTGGTTATAAATTTTTATGGATAGGCAGAAAATGCCTAGAGAAGCATTTTTAATATATTGATAATTTTCAGTTCCTTCCCACAGATTCAATATCTGTTATGACTTTTTAAAGGGCTGCTGAATAAGTGTTTCTTAGGTTTTTTTGTTTACAATTATATTTCAGGTAATGTCTACCATAGGCTTTTTTGTACATTTTTTTCCAGCGTGTTATTTTTGTAATATAGATTGCAGGTTTTGTAGCCTCACAGATTATAAATTATGAATTGAAAAAACCTCTGTATCATAGCAATCTAACAAGTGTATGGTTTTGCACTATGTAAATTTTTTTTGAAAGTATTCAGTGGATGTTAAACAGCTGTATCATGCTGACACTCCACTTAGGCTTCCAAGGGTCAGCAGGGATTCCTGGAAAGATCAGAGCTGACCTCAAGATCAGCATTCTGAATTAATGCAGCTTTATAATTAAAGGCTGATTTACAGTCCACTTGCCATTTATAGGTCACTAATAGCCTGCAAACAAAAGACAAGTCAATTTATAAACCAGGTTCTTTTACTTTAGGTACTTATCCAGTATGGAATAAAAAATTATCAGCTGTAGTATTTTGTTCATTTTCTGATGAAGATCTAGAAAACATATATGAAATATTCCACAACCATTTGCCTTATTTAAATCTACCATTATATTGTCTTTGTTGTCTCAGAGCATTTTTGGCACAGTTATGGATGTCAGTAACTCAAATCAGAAATTCCTGTTTTACTTGGCTGTATATTGCAGAAGAGTGACCTAGAAATCCAAAGGGAGGTTATACAGTCATATTTTTTTTTGTTGGTCTGCATTAAAATCCCGATTGCAAGTCAGTCAAAATATTTCCGTTGATTTTGGTAGTCTTCTGGTTTGTCCCTAAGAGAACAAAATCCCAAAGGATTTTAATTTGAGATGTATCTGTAAAACACTTTTTCGCTGATGTATTCTTTTGGTTTTGCTACTAGTTTGATCACATTGCAATAGATGTGTAGTAGATAGGTTACAGTGATTTATATACATCATATCTTGTGTGTTCAGCAATAAACTACCACTCATTTACAGATCTGAAAACTCAGGTTTTTGATTTCCTGTAGTGGATGTCATTCATACAGCAATAGAAGGGAAAGGTTCTGATTGTTTTATACTTGTATAGTGGCTATTTCAGGTTATCACTTTCAAAAATTAGTGCTAGTTGTGGATATCAAGAACTAATGTGACTAAATTGTACTTTCTGAATAATACATAATTGACAGCATCAAAATGTCACAGCCATCTCTGCTTCCCATCCATCTTAAATAGTGACCCCAGGAGAGCTTGTGGCTGAAGATTCTGTTTTGGCAATACATATTTCACTATCCTTGTGGAAAATGCCTCCCAGCAAATAATGATCATTGTCAACATTTTTATGTCATTCTTCTTTTTGGTAGGTTTTAGCATTATTATTGTGCAGATGCATTTGTACAATTTCTTCTCAGTCTGCCTACTGTAAAGGTTGGTGACTGCAAGGTAATCTCAGTCTTGATCTGTTTCTTACAGCTACATCCCAAAAACTGGGTTGTTGTTTGTTTCTTTGTTTATTTTTTAATAGAAGAAAATTAGCTGTCCTAAAATTCTGCATGTTATTACTACTAGCTTGACCCATTGAGCTCATTTTTCTTCATAAGGCCTATGTGAGGAATACTAAATACTGAATACTCAGTGGCTGTCTTTAAGACTGAATCCAGATTGCCTCACACAGCTGTTTCACCAGCATCTCACGCAACGCATGAGAAACAGCTTTTGGGTTTGATTTGGGGTTTTCAAGTTGGAGTTGCATCATTCAGAATGTTTTAATAACAAAATCAAAACAAGTTCCGGTGTGTTCTTAGATAAGCTTCCATCTCATTTCTCCCTAGATGATAGTGACTGACAGAGTACAGTGTTTTTTTAGGGTTATTGACTATAGCAGGCCTGACTTTCAGTTTAGAACTGAAAACAACCCTTTAGTTTTCCAGTGGGCAGAATACAACTTCATTTTCCTAAAAGAGACCCCTGGATTTGCATCCATTAGGTTTCCTGTATCTAATTGTCTGTAGCACAATGAAGCTAAAAATGTACCAAGAGGATGAAAACAGAGAGAGTTGCACTGGAGGAAGACAGTGTGTAGTACAGCTGAGTGAGCAAGAGTAATGAACACTTCCAAGAGTTCTCTGATCTGGAGCTTCACGTTTATCACTTTCCTGTTAAGAGGGGAATATTTCTGCTCTCTTCGCTGAATGAAAAACCTGAGGAAAAATTACAGAAATTCATATCTGGTGTTGCTTCTGAACAGGGATGAAATGTTTAATTCATCACGTTGTTTCCTTCTGCATGCTTCTGTGGGGACTTGCCCACTGCACATGTGGATTTCAGGCACAGCAAGTGCTTTGGCTGGGGATGGACCTTCTTTTTCACCCAATGTCTGTCTCAGGGAGCAAAAGCTATGGCATTTCAATCCATGCTATCTTTTTGGGGTTTGTCCTGCTTTCAGCCTTCCTGGGTATCAAATAGAACCAGAGTCACACAGAAGTCTGCTCCTGATTTGGAAAAAAACCACTTTACAGCACATCTACACAAAGGGGTTAGTGTTGGGATTGGTGTTTCCCAGAACAGAAGAAAATGGGCATCAGTTATTTTTTTCTTACTCTGCATCCTTTTCTTAGGCCTTCTCTTCCTTCTAAAATTGTAAAGCAAATATTTTTAAAAGGAAAAAAATACAAGGGAAAATGAAGGGAAAACAGAGAGTAGCATCTCTCTTACAGCATTCAGGCAAAGTTTGGGGATAACAGTGTTCTGATACATTTAAACATATGGAAAACTGGCAGGTAGTATGACTTTCTGTAAGGACATGAATATTAATAAAACCTTACCATAATATTAGAACTCTGCACTCTGTCTTTAGTAGATACATTCATCTCTATAAAGGATGAGCTACACCTTTGTCCAAAGGGTAGGCAAGACCAAATTTTCTGCCCCATGAGATGAGTATTTTCCTTTGTAGGGAGGGTAACTGTTCTTGTCCCAAAGCATGTAGGTCATGAACCTTGTGCTCTGTAGCATCTCTCCATTGAACTTGTCTAATCCAGAAAGTGGTGGATACTTCAAAAGGGAGATAATAGCAAAAAGTAAGATGCATTTTTCTCAGAAAAGAGAGGGTTGTTATAGAAATGTCAAAAAAAAATGTGTGTGTCTATATATTTGGGTGAGAGGGATAGAATATCAAAAAATTGAATGAGTGAAAATACCAGTAGAGTTCACGAGGCTTTGATTTGCTGTTGTATCAGTATTTCTTCTGTGTAAGATTTTCCTTTTACTTTCAGGAAAAGAAAAGAGTCAGAGATGGAGCAGATAAGCCAAAGTCCATTAAAAAACATAAGAAAACCTTCAAATTAAAATTATTTGATTCTTTATTAGCAGTATATTAAGATTGAAATAGGCAAATCAAGGCGGCAGGAGACTAAATAACTGGATTAGGAGAGAATGTATAAAATTAGATGATCCTTTCCTTTCTTTTATGTTAGAGGTCCAGTAACTAAACTAGGGGTTGTGTAACAAGTGAAATTATTTAATTCTGGCAGTTCAGAAGTGAAAAGAGCAGCTGGGAGGTCTTTGAGTCCAAGTTCCAGCAAGCACAGAGCAGCACAGAATTGACTCCAGACAGAAACTTTTCTGATTTTAACTTTTTTTTTTTAAAATCTTGTTCCAAGAGAGTGTACATGCTAGAGCTGTTCTTAGCTCATCTTTCAGAGGTCTTTATTCAGTAATTCAAAATAACCATATTCAGCCTTATAGACCGATTCTTCTGTTTCTCTCCTGTATTCTTTTTCTTTCCGTCTTCTCCTGTGGGACCATTCTGCTCTTGTCTCCCACAAAAAAGCATCTGATCTCCTTTTGTATTCAGTTGATGTGAATCTGCAAGCGTAATTTGTTTCTTTTATTTACTTTCAGACAACAAAGCAGCAGCATTAAAACCCCTATATTGTTCAAGTCTAATGTAGTATTTTACAACTGGCTTATCCATTGTATCTTTCAATCCTATTTCTTGGTTTATTTAAAGTCCAAAATTGTTAAAGTAACTTTTCTGTATTTCATATTAGATACGTGTTGGAACTCTTGAATTTAAAATGTTTCATAGAGAACAAAATCAGTAGTAATTGTAATTTTTTTTTTCAGATTTTATGTCTCAATTCTGTGGAATTGCTCTAGAAGAGCACTATCAGAAAGGTTCATAAAAATGAGCAGTTGTCTGTACTTCACTCTTATTTATTCTGTTTTTACCAAGTTCTGCTTCATAAACTCATGACTAATGATAAGCAAAACAGATAAGATAAGCAAAACAAAAATAGACCTTCTCTCCAATAAGATATGCTACATTATCCATTCAAACAACTTGTATAATGAGTAACCGAAGAACGGTTCATGGAACATCAAAGGATTTAATGAACCACCCAAATAAATGAAACACTGAAGCATCCTCAAACTCCAAAATACAAAGTAGCTTTGTTACAGCAGGTGTATCCAGAGTGGATACCAAAAAATTAAGTGCAAACAGGATTTCATATTTTTATTGTAAACACATGCCATGAAGTAACGATGTGCCAGTCAGTCCACCACAGTAACTTTTAGATTTACTATCTAGTTTCAGCTTAGTTTGAGAAAGGGACAATTACCTGAAAGGTGAGAGTTTCCAGAAGTTCTGTTTAAATAGATTTGATCCCAGGTTACATGTCTGCACCATCTCACCACTGGTTGTGAAAGGAGGCAGCAGACCCTGCAGAGGAGGGGTGTACACAGGCAGGAAAGAGATGAGTTGGGTGCATTCAAAGAAAGGGCTCTGCATAAGCACAGGTATATTACTGGGCTCTGCAGAATCTGTGCTGGAGAGAACTGTTCAGGTAGAGGATGTGACATTCCTAAATTCTGCACTTTTGCAACACAATGTGTTTGAACATCAAAGGAGTTGCTGTGCCTGAGTCACGTCAGTCAGTGTTAGACCTCAACAGGTACGGAACAAGTGGGAACCTTGACTCCTCCTCATCAGCTGTTTGAGTAAACCAGATGAACTCAGCAAAACACCAGCAGCTGGTGGATCTGTTACTGGAGAGTTTTCAGTGCTTGTGATATCCCTCGTTTAAAGCCATGTAAACTAAAATACTGGATTAGTTAGGAAGTAGTCTGGCTGCACAGGATTTGTTTTGCTATTTGAGAAATGACAGGTTTCATTGCTGCAAACATGTTTGGGCTGGAAAGGTACTTGTCTCTTTCTTTAGAATTACAGGTATTTGGATGTTTGAGCATTATATGCTAGTCTATAATTAATTTCTTCTTGGTATCATTGAATAATTTTATATCCTGTTCACTGAAGTGAATAGAGGTTTACTTTTCAACGTGTTTCCAAGAGAGGCACAACTCTAATTACAAAACAGCTTTATAGGAAGATTGAATCTGGCCTAATCAGAATTTGTGTCACCTCTAAGATGTGCCATCAGTCAGTGAATGCAGAGCAGCAGGCAGTACCACTTCTCAGGGATTTTACAGTCTGAGCAGACGAGAAAAAGAATTTATCAGGAAATATGATTTAGGAGCAACAAGTTCATATGCAAACATCAATTTTTGAGGATGATTTAAAAGCTGAGTAATTTCCTTTTTAAATATTTTGGATAAAGCTTAGTTAAGAAGGCTGTTAGTTAATAGAGAGAGTGGAAGAGAGATCCAAAAACAACTAATAGAAAAAGGCTAAGGTCACCAGAAAATGACTGGGAAGTTTCCTGAGGTCTCCCAGATGAAACCATCATTCAGTTTTCTAGTTCTTAAACTAACTAGGAATTATAGTTTCAAACAAGAATTCATACTATCATTGGTAACTTAGATCCTAGAGTGGTCAACTTCCCTGTGACATCATTTGGGTGTGCCATGCACAGGCCCCCAACTCATTAGGGTGCAAGCTCCCACCAACTCTGCAGCTCCTGACAGCCTTTCTGGAACTTAAGATCTCCTAAGTGTGTTGGCTTTTTTTCAGCACTGTGGAAACAGAACTGATAGTTTACTTTCTCAATTTTGTAAAGTGATATTTCCCACCACCACCACTGACAGAGATCTCTAGCTCTGTTTGAGAGACAGGGTTCTGTTTTGCCAGTTCCATGAAATGGGGTTGTGGAACCACTCTGTGTATGCTCTTGCTGCAGATGGCACCTGTAAATTAACCTGTGAGAATGGAGGAAAGTGCATTATAAACGAGAAGGGGGATCCTCGATGTCACTGCTGGCCAAGTTACTCTGGTGAAAGGTGTGAAACGAACCATTGCTACAACTACTGCCAGAATGGAGGAACCTGTGGAGCCTCTCTCCTTGGTAAATATTTCTGAACAGCTCTATATTACTATTATACCTGCCTTAAATGTTTGCATTTATTCCCTTCTTGTGATATTTGTCTCTTTGTAACTTATTTACTTTGTTTGTACTTAAATGGTGTGCAAAACATCAGAACATGTCATACATATTTATGCTTTATAATCAATAGTGTTTTTCACTTACATGTCTCAGTGAATTAAACTGCATCCCAGAAAAGGGAGTGTGTAAATAAGTGTTCAATATAAAGACTCAGGTGTTGAGGTGGACAAATGGAATTGTAAAGCATAAGGTCCAGTCAAAGTACACCTGGAACAAGCCCATACAACTTGTTCTCTCTTTGTCTCAGTTCTCCCTCTAAATTTTTATGTGCATACACAGAATTTGCTTAAATTTGGTGACCTCCGTCTTTATCTTCCTGGAGATCACCGAACAGGAATTTTAGTCATCTAATTCTCAGGAAGACTTGGTTGATGAGAACTCAGATCCTTCATTTTCCTGAAGGAATTTGAAATTATCTCTCTTATCTTCAGGGATATAATCCTGTTAAAAAGTGGTGATTTGACAGTTGATCTCTGTCCCTAACACATAAGCTTTTGTAACTTGCAATTAGTGTTTGGGCAAGAGAGGGAAAGTGTGATAAAAAGTACTCTTAACAATTCTGTGAGAAGGGAGAAGTCGAATTCTATTTTCTGCTTCAAGGAATAATTAAATATTTGATTCAAAGTAGAACAGCTGGAGAAGAGTTTGCTGTCTAGTCCCTTCTTCTCCTCAGAAGCTATTAGCTGCTGAAGATGTGAATCATTTTCTCCTGTGATGAAGAGACCAACACCCTGATCTCTGAAAGAAAAGTACAAGCACCTGGTCCTGAGAAGTTTGTGACTGTTCAGCACAGAGAGGGCTCTCTGAAATGCAAAATTGTGTATCTGAGTCTCTGTGGCAGGGACTTAGATCATAATGTTTTCCTCAGCACTTCTTACTAATTAACTCTAGCATATGTAGTTTAGTAATTTAGCCTCACTTGGTGGCTTCTGTGGAGCCTCCTCTTATTGACTGAGGTGTGGTGGCAAAATTCCAGGTGAATGCAAATCTAGAAATCTTTTCTTTCAGTTATGAGTAGTTGAGGGTTAATAATGTTGTTCATAGTTATATCCATAATAATGACTAAATATTAGAAAATGAGAATTACTTGTGCTGGAAGTTGATTAATTATACTTTAAACTGCTCCTAACAACTAATGGAACTGGCACAAATGATAAGTGGTGATTTTTATCAATGTAGTGAGATCAATACGTGCTAAGTGAGGACACGCAGGTGAATGGAAGTAAGTTGTGGGTGATTTAAATGACATGCAGAACTTTCTCCTCATCTGAAGAGAGGATGTTTATTCCCACATCTTTACATGTCTGCCATTTAATTGATTCTTTTGTGGGGTTAAAAGGCTTAATAAAATTAATCACTTGGCTCCTGGAACTCAGCTCCATTTTGAGTCCTGCGGAGCTCCCAGGGCTTTATTTAATCCTTTTCTTTTGGCAGTAACTATAGGGCTTGCTCACCTCCAGCAGTTTGTTTTCCCTTTCCCAGGCAGCAACATTTGCTGTGCTCACACAGCTATCCCATTGCATGGGTATTTTTAATTTATATTTTCCTATTAAATCCAGCTTCTGAAATCTCCCAGCCTTGCTGAAATAATTATTGCAGTAGATTTTGTCACCAGTGGGTAAAGGCGGGATATGAGCAGGTTCCACAATATACTTCTGCTAAATTTTTCACCATGGCCCAGCTGCTGCAGCAGGCCTGGGGATACAGCATCAGCCTGGTGCTTTGTGTCCCAGATGGAATGATGTGCCTACACTAAAATGCATCAGGAGAGCCAGCATGGACATCACCATAGTCCACATTTCATTGTTCAATTGCCTGATTTGGGGAAATCTGAACATCTAACAGCAGCTAATGTTTCTTGAACCACACATGACCAAAGAGTGCCTTTATGAGCTGAGACCAACACAGAGCTGGTTCTAATGACTCTAGGCATGCCTGCTGATAGGAGTGTTCTTCTGCAGTGCTCTGTCCCCTTAACAGTTTCATCAAATTTTTGAGAATCATATTTCAAGTTAACCAGATGTCTTATCTGCCATTTCCAATTCATGAGGGTAGCCATGCCTTGAAGCCCACACCATAACTTTCCCATGCTGGAAATGTGGAAAAGAGACCATATATCTTTCCAAATGACAATGCCACCGTCTAGTATTCCTGATAATTTCCAAGAAATTTTCAAGTTGCTCTGCCTCTCATCTTCCTTGCATGCCTAGCCCCTGGACGCTGTAAATATTCTATTAAGAAGAAATCTCCATTTCTTATCAGACTATATTTCTTATCTACATCAGACCATAAATCGTGTGTTACAGAAACAAACTAGCATGCCAGGGAGATGTCCCTTTATCCTAGTGTAATCTAATCCATGATATACTAAGGCCATTATGTATCTTACAGAGGGAAGCTAAACTGGACTCCCCAAAAGCATTAGAAACTGTAATTAAGTCAACAAAGCTTAATTCCTCAAGTGTTTTTGCAAGAACCATTTCCTCTTTCCAGTTGAATACACACTTCAGTCTTTCAGTCCTTGTGTTCAGTGAGCACACATGTAGCTGCACAAGACATCTGCAGTTGGACTGAGTGTGAAATCCAGACCAGAACAATGTTTCTTCTCCTTGTCTCAGCCTTCAAGGCAGAGTTGATTTGCTATGTCAAGTTCATATGAGAGTGATTAGCCTATATGTTGCTTTATTCTTGCATGTTCCTACATGTAGAAATAAAAACATTCATTATTACCAGGAATTGCTCAATTTTTCCTTAATGGTTTTGAGCTTCAGCATTTTATTGTATCTAGATTTGAAATATTTTGTTGTACCAGGCTGACCTGTCATCTAGCAAAGGAATAATAGAATCATTAAGTTTGCAAAAGACCTCTAAGATCATGTCCAACCCTTAACCCAGCAGTGCCAGGTCCACAACAAAACCATGTCCCCAGGCGACACATCTACACGTCTTTTAAATCCCCATGTTCCAATAGCTACATTGCAAACTGGTTTCGTTAAAGAATTCCCTCACATTTCTGTGAAGTATAAAATTACTATTTTAAAATAAAGTCAACTCAATATCATTTTACCTTGTTCTACTGTGCTATTGCTGCCTGTGCATTCTTCCTCCTGTACAATGGTGCTCACAAACAGTTCCTCAAAAAGTAGCACCTGTACTTCTGATCCATTATACAACTGACTCATCAAACTGACCTGCTAAAATCAAGTTTCATATGTTTTCCTAATTTAATATTTTTTTTACTTTTTTTTTTGTTGTTCAAAACTATAATACCTTTTCCTCTGAAAGTTGTAGAAGCCATAGGTGAGTGCCAATCCAAACTCATCTGCAAAATATAAATGACTAGTGATCATTTTTTTCTTAGAGGCTTTGATTGCCCTTGTCAATTTTTGCATATTATACAACTCAAACAGCTTTGAATTGATCTCACAAGTGTCATTTTACACACATTCCCTTTGGAAAGCTTAGGGACTGCCAGTCATTTCAGCTTCAGTGGAGATGCTTCTGCAGGGTCCCCACAGCTGGAGGCTTCCCTAGGAGTCAGGGAATTTCCTTTGGATTCTGACTCAGAAACTGAGGAAGGAAGAAAGAACCTGAGAACAAATTTTGCATCATACTCTGATACAAATAAATTTGTGCAGCATATGAAATACTCTTCTGGTGAATGTGTGTGTTCTAGTGACTGTGTAAATCCTCTTCTCTTTCACCACCTAATACAGAATAGTAATGTGATAACTAATTAAGTAAATTGCAGAGTATTACTAATTTTTTAAAACATGATTGTGCTAAATCTTTGCTGGATGTGTTAAGTTGTAGAACCTCATTATCTGCACACAAATGTTAATTTGTTAAACAAATCCCACTGGCAATTCAGGGATTATTCACTGTTGGCTTACTTACTGCTAAGCCTTTTGGCAAATTCCTATGTGAACGTTATATAGCTGGAGATTGGAGCAGCTTTAATTAAAATTTATAAGTTTACAACAGTTGTATTGAACTACAATAATTGAACAAAGAAAATGTCATCAGTTAATTAAAAGTACACATCTGAGACATGTAATTAAAAGTTTGGGCATAATAATGAACACTTTCCAGTAAGCCAAATTAATGTGAATTTGGAAAAAAAATTGAAATCTTACCATAAAAATGCGCTTTCTTTCTCCTTATAGTTTAAAGTAAAAATATTGACAGAACAGTTTACTGAATGTCTCAAACACATTATAACTAGGTTAGCTAGTTCACAAAACCAGATAAATCCATTTGTATTATACTTGCAGTACAAAGAGTGTCTAATCATATAAGATCATTATTTTTTTATAAAAATGACTGAAAAAATGTGCTTCCTCTAAACAGAAATATTCTCAAAAAATCATTATATATAAAGTAGGTAGTATTATTTTGTATTATATTTTATAAGCAAAACAAGGTGATTTGGTGCACACTGAAAACAGTCAGTGAAGAACCTGTTTACTTTGCTAATGTAACATCCGTGCCAGTCTCCAAGGGTGTTCCTACATCATGTTGTCAGCAGGACAGGGACTGTGGGGAGGGATGAGATGGTATTTCACTGGATGTTGAGGCTCTCTGTTCTGGCACAGGGTCTCAACAGAACCACCACCACCAGCCTTGGAAAAAAAAACCTTTGAGAGTACTCTTAATATATTTAGAAATTGTTTTTTTCTTCCTTTTTTTTTTCCCACAACACAGAGAGACTGTATATCTGTTGGGATAGATCCCAATCAGCTCACCTACTAATTACATTTAATAATACAACTTCTCTCCACTACTATTGTCTCAGTAAAGTTAATTATGGTTCATCAGCCACACAGAAATGAATTATTCTGATTCCCACAGACTTCTGATAAGGACTCCAAAAGACAAGATATTACTTGCAGAAAACTCATGTAATGCCACCTTATTTTCTTTAACAGTGACAGCAAGTTAAATATTGAAACTAAATGTGCATATTCACCTATAAAAACTTAAAAACACAAATTGCATGTAGTGAATTTACCATTGAATGGAAGAAATAAATAATGTAAATTTTTATACAGATATTAATCTGAATTATCTAATTTTTCAAAAGTTGTAGAAAGCTACAAAAATAGTGCTATTGACCTAGATTTAATTATTTTTTAATTGCAAAGCACCTTTATGTGATTATACAAAATACATAATCTTTATATGTTGTTTAGGCAATAGCACGAATGAAAGTTGATCTCCCTAGAATTATAATCCTTTCAAAATAAATGTAAATATGGCTTTAAGATATCTGAGTGGATTCCCAAAAGAAATCACCCAGATGCTACAGGAACAGTGAACCAAGGTATTTATTGGCAATTTTTGAAGATTATTTAAGAAGTTACTATATAGGCAATTGTTATTATATAGCAAACTAAACTGACAAGCCAGGAGTAACTACAGCATCTGTAATCAAAGCCTAATTGAACATTGTGTGATTTAGATCCCTGGTATCTTTTATTTTTGTAAGAAAGGGGGAAACTAGGTTTCATTTTCATGTCAAAAATTTTGCATATCATTTCATGCCCTCCTGCCAAAAATAACTTCATATGTCTTAGGGTCACCATAACATATTCTCCTTTAATTTATTAATTTCTCTTCTGAATTTGAAGCAGTTTAGCATTCCATAAACCACTTCCCATATTATTGTTTTTCTATATTCTAATGAGTCGTGCACATTTGTGTGGTGGTGAGGATAAAGGAGAGGGAGTTTTAACTCTGTGTCTGTAGAGCTCCAATCCTGAGAGTTCATGACGAGTGAAGATTCTGAAGGTCTCTGTGCATGAGCTCATCTTGGAATTCTGTTGCTAGGGGGGAATATGTGACATCTTGGTTAACATGACTGTTTCTTTGCAAACATAAATCTTTGCAACTGTAAATCTATACTCTGATTCTGTGATACAAAACCTGATGGCATTGTTTGTCATTGTTCAGTACTGCAGTTTTGTTAAACTCTTCCAGGAACCATTTTGTATCAGAAATAATTTCTGAGAATAAGGCAGATGAAAATGTCAGTATTAGTATTATTTTTGATGTCAACAGTCTGTGTATAAATAGGCAATGAACTATTAACATTACTGAAAGTCATGTTAAATTGAGTGACAAAAAGGGGGTTTAGGCTATACTGTATTAAATTTTCATATAACTGTCAGTAGTTTGGCATGTTTATAAGCCTACATTAGCAAAGAATAGAATAATCTTTTCCACAACCTAGAAAAATATCATTGTCCCATCATTTTAACAAATAGAGGAGTATTAATAATAAAAACTGGTTTCAGACCTGCAGATCTATGTTCTATTACTATTTTATGTTTTTTATTGAAACAATGATTCAGATGAAGGATTATGTGAAATGCCCTGGCTTGGGGGCAGAAATTTAAATACAAGTGTGTACAGGGGGAAAAACAAGAAGAATCTGTACTAACATCTGAGTTCAACATCTTTGATTTAATGTTTAGATCACAGGGGACAGATATGAATAACCAGGCTGATGCATATTAAACTAGTTGGAGCTATTTTTAGGTCAATGGTTTTGTTCCTGCTGTACTCATTAGAGGAAGAGAGTAACTGATCTCATGGCCTTTAAGATGATTTGCAAAACACTTTAAATTAGCATAACTTAAAATAGAAAATGTAGAAAAGAATTACATGAAGTGTGTCACGTAAGAAGGGTAAGAAGTAAGTGAAGGAAAAGGAATAAATAAATTATTCTGCATGAGTCAGAGAGAGCAGACAAAATTAGGGTGCTTCACTTGTGTTGAGAAATTCTCTAATGAATATGATATTAAATGATTGCATAGTATTAAAACAAAGGCAGACCAGAAGAAAGTTTGAATTGTGGAGTTTCTGGAATATTCAGTTTAATCTTAATTACTTCAACAACCCAGACAACTAAATGGAGAAGAAAGAACAACAATCTTACTGTTGCAGGGTTGCACATTTCAGAGTTTTGGATGCAACTGTGGTGAACAGCCTCAGGAGGCAAATGGGAAAGTATTTGTGGATACTTACAGCAAACATCATGTTAAGCTGAGGAAGTGATTAATGAGACAAAAAAGAACCGACCTATTCATAATGAAGCATTTTTAAAAATCAAACAGCAGTAAGGAATTACTATTAGATCAGCAAGAAAATCAGGGAGAATTATTATGGAAAAGTAACCCTTAATGTTATTTCATTTGACTACTTTGGATTTTGGCTCTTCTGTGCTTTTTAAACCAAACCAGGCCCAAGCCAAGCAGAGCTTCTCTCGTGTGCTCACCAACCCCTCCATGAAGTAGGACTGTGTATATGTAAGAAGCTTATTCCTGCCTTATGGCTTGGCATGAAGTTTTTCAAATGTAAATCCAAGGATAGCTGGGGTCTCTCATATATAGCACATTCCCTGACTTTCTCTGATCTCTTTTAGATTGTACAGTCACATCACTACTCTTATTGGGCTGTCAGTAATAAAATTTGATAGGTTATTTTTCCTGTTTATGCCTGCAATTTCAATCCAAAGGATTCTGCCTCACACATGCAGTACATTATGTAGTTACCTTGATAATCATAGGATAATAAAATGGTTTGGGTTGCAAGGGACCGTAAAGATCATCTCATTCCAACCTCCTGCTGTGTGCAGGGACACCTTCCCCAAGACCAGGTTGTCAGAGCTCCATCCAACCTGGTCTTGATTACTGCCAGGGTGGGGAATCCACAGATCTGCAACCTGTGCCAGTGCCTCCCCATCCTCATAGTGAAGAATGTTTTTCAAATATCTGATGTAAACCTACTCTCACTTTGAATCCGTTCCCCTGGTCCTACAACATGCTGTTATAGATAATCTGATTGACTTCAGCTCTTATGTCATCCTATTCTGTCGCTGGCCAAGACTAGATATCAAAGAATTGTGTATTAGTTCTACAACAGCCACCTTCACTTTCCAAATTTGCTATAGCCAATGATACGATATTGCTGTTCCCATTCAGGACTCAAGTTTGGTTCTTAGACTTTTGCCACTTCTGTAAAGCACAAGTGTGACTGGTTTGGTTTTCCATAGTCTTGTTACTCTCCATTCCTTGTGTTCTGCCTGATACTAATTACTATTTGACTATCACTGGCCTACAAATGGTCTTTTACTTGGACATACAGTGTATCCACACCTTCACTCAAAGGGATGAGTCTTTGCCTGTCAGATATCCTTTCCTCTGCAGTGACCCTGTTAAGCACTTGGTTGTGCTTGCCAACAGATTGGGTTCTTCATAATTCAAATGAAGACTATCCTGTCTGCCATTTCATTTCAGAAGTGTCCTCAGGTCACGGTTAATCTCCATCTCTTTCCTTCCTGGGAAGCCAGGAAAAATAGAAGTGTTACACTTGATCTGTTCTCCCTAAATTTAAGAAAACCCTTAAGGCTAAATGAAAGCAAAGAGAAGGAGGGCGGGGGAAAAATAATGTCTTGTAAGAGATAATCAAGAATGAGAATAGATTATTAGGATTTGAGAAGGGTTAGTTGGACACATCAGGTCATTTACTTGAAGAGGAGATTACAAATCAGATATGAAAGCAAAGTCAGGAGATGGAAAAACATTAGTGGCATCTAGAAGTTTGTTTCAAAGAAGATAAGCTTTAAGAAAATAAGTCAGGGAAAAGTGGAAGGGTTTAATAAAACAGTGGAATTGTAACAAAACTATAAATCCTTTAGGCATGAGATTTAGATAAGGAAAAAAAGTGGGAAAATTACAATAGGGAGTAATCATAGGAGGCAAATGCATTGGGTTTTAAACATTATTTTAAAACCCTTTGAAAAGAAACTGTAGACTCGAAGTTCATTGTGTGCAAGCATTCATCCCAAAGTGTTCACTGCTTTTCAGACATTGAATATTGATGTTACAGGCGTCTTTGGTCTGATGCCAGAGAGTACTTTTATGTAACAGTATTCATTATCTGAGAGGGGCGGGATAACAAAACGGGCACAGATACTTGTGTTCTAGTAAAAAATGTAGCTATTAGTGCATTAGTAAATATTTGTATATTCATTTGATTATATATAAAGGTTTGTAGATTTGGGAATAATGGAGTACATTGTAAAGAGACACCAATGTTGCTTTATACAAACATTTAATCTTGCAGCTGGAGGAACCCAGCATGGCAGAATGATTTGGAGAGTTTATTCACATCTTAAATTCTTACTTAAGACCATCATTTAAAATAATTTCAATTATTTTAAAATAACTTATTTCTTCTCATAAAACAGTCAATGATGATACATGCACAAGTATAAAAATGCAGCTTTTGAGGTGTCCATATCTCACTTTATTCTTTTAAAAGTTCTGCATTCAAGTGATGTTTGTAAAGCCGTGGTCCGTTAGCGTCTAGAGAAACGTAGTTGGGCTCGAACCTTAAAACTTGCTATTTTATGATAAATCTGTCTTTAAAGTGCCAACTACTGTTTTGATTTTTATTTATTTTTATCATAAAATAGTTTTCTTTGTTTTGAATAGGTCGACCGACCTGCAACTGCGCACTGGGTTTTACGGGGCCAAACTGCAACCAGACGGTCTGTGAGCGCTTCTGCCAAAACGGGGGGACCTGCAGTGTCACCACTGGGAACCAGCCCTTCTGCACCTGCTTGCCTGAGTATACAGGAGACAGGTGCCAGTATTGTAAGTAATCTCCACGAAATTTCAATCCGGGTGTATAATAAAAGTTCGACAGAATGGAAATTTAAAACCCAGTTGGGTGATTTTTTTTTCACTGCATTGGTAAATTCAGCCCCAAGTAACTTGTACTGCTGAGGGAACGGAATCTGATGTATTCAGGTGATCTTGGAACATATTTCTGAAATAGGTGAAGAAAGAGCTTTATTAGGAATGATTATTTAGGACAAGAGGGCGCAGTCTTAAGATGCACCAGGGGAGATTTAGGTCAGAGATTAGGAAGAAGTTCTTTACAGAGAGAGTGATCAGACATTGCAGTGGGCTGTCCAGGGAGGTGGTGGAGTCACTGGAGGTGACTCCTCTAATTATCTCATCCCTGGAGGTATTTAAGAAGAGGCTGGATGTAGCACTTAGTGCCATAGTCTAGTAGACAAGGTGGTGTTAGGTCGAAGGTTGGACTTGATGATCTCAGAGGCCTTTTCCAACCTCGTTGATTTTGTGATTTATTTATTATTTTCGTGAATGAATCTGTAGAGTGGAGCTTTACAAGACAGATGACTTGGCCAGTAGACATGAGACAATTGTGTTAAAATTTTACACTCTGACTTCTCATATTTGTTATCTTATGCTGATATGATACCTAAACATAATGTTGACATAGTTGGTTAAAGAACTTTCTGGTGTCCCTTATCTTTTCAGACCAGTACAATTCTCAAACTGCTCCTTTACCTTTGGTTTTCATTTCTAACCCCAGAAAGTAGTGTACTGACAATGGCTTTAAGTTTCACACTGCAATGTTCCTTCATCTTGCTCAGTCTAAGATCACCTTGAGTGTGGTTTCTGCCCCATCCTGGTATTGAAATTCTAAAGGATTTCTAAATATTACTCTTGTTTAATTCTCAGGTCTTGGATTTTACCCTTTGCATCAGAAGTTCTCCCCAGTTTTTCATTCCACTGACCCATCAGTCTCTTCTCATTGAGTTACTGTTTTCCAAAGTTTTCCATGCCTTTAGAAAGGCTCTTCTCACTTTCTACATATTTCTCTAATTTTTCACTTCTTTTACAGGGGAGAGGGGAGAGAAGATTATCAATCAATAGGGATTCTGCTCTTACTCCATATGTATTTCTTTTCTCCCAGTGCTTTCTCTTTCTTTCGCTGTTATTTCTTTTCAGTAACTCAAGACATTTGGTCACTCATTTAAAAACTACAGTTTGTCTTCCTCATGTCTCTTCAACATGATGACTCACAAGTAACCCTAAGTTGCTAAAACCAGATTATTTTTCTGAGATCAGAATGATGTTTTTTTAGTCATCTGCTTTTTTTTCTACTCCTGCTTTGATTTGACTGTAGCATTCTAAAGAGAGGACTGTCGTAGTTTTACTAGACTGTCATAGTGTTTGTCATAGAACATTAAATGTGAAAACCATCATCTCTTTTGTACATTCAGTGAATTTGCTAAAGAAGGCTAGATTTAAAAGGAAATTAGCTTTTATAAAGGTCTGGTTCAGAATTATCTACAATATACAAAAAGTATTTAGTTTTAGACAAAGGTCTGTCAAACAAGGAAAGTGTTAGTTTGTATCTTAAATAGGATTTGTACTGGAATAAACTGAATGTATTTCCAGGTGGGGGACTATGAAATAAATTGAAACCTTTGAATGGAAAACCAGCAGTAATTGTGATTCTCTCCCCCTTGGTATTAAACAAACTGCATGGATCCATAAATAACTATCTGCAAATACAATTGGGTATTTGAAAATAGTATAGTACATAAATCATGCACAGACAGACACACAGATTAAGAAAAAATATTTACTTGAGGCTTACCCAAAACCAAACAAATTGTTTCTAGTTGAATGCTTCTGCAAACATTTTTTTTTTTTAAGAATTGATTTAAATGTAAATTTATGGGTGCTTTTTAAGCAGTGCTTATTATCAGATTTGGATTGTCTGCTGACACTTTGGGAAACTGACACAATACAAAGACTCAAACACCTCATAAAATACAAAGTAAAATCAAGCTTTTGTTTGTTTAAAACTTAATACTTTTAGGGAAAAAAAGTCTTTTAGAGTATTTTTTGGTGGCCAATAACAGTTTTGTGAAATTTTACAGGTTTACAGTTAATAAGGTGTATATAAAGTCACGCCTTATTTTTTTGCTTTGTTCATGCATATGGATGATTTTTTGCTTTATTAATCACATTCACTTTGTATGCATGTTGGAATACATTAATGTAGCATTATTGCAAAGATTGGTTGCCTCCAAGATATCTTTTCCAGTCTTTCTTTGCTGTGATTGAAACTAGTTCATATGCAAAAGATGATACATGAATGTGCATAGGTATTTTATTCCTGCTCCCAAGCTGAAAATATTATTAGTGTTTTTTATAGCAGGGAGAAGACATTTGCTTACAGTATTACCAGCTTGCAAAGACCTTATTTTCCTCATACTTATCGTCTCCAATTACCCAGTGCAGAGTTTCGCCTGTGATTAGTTCACATAAGGGCTAATAACCAAAATGTGTGCTCCGTGTCAAGACACTGGCACTGCTGAAATAAATTCAAGTGAATGAATTTACATAGAATTCTACTAACACTGTGCATGTTATTAAATACACATGAATTTGATGTATTTGAATATAACTCCCTGTTTCAAAATCCAGAAATAAGACATACAGAGTAGTTAAAGTTCATTTCTTGTATCATTTAAGGCCAAACAACCTAAAAAATAGAAAACGTTTTCATGCAGTTACAATCATTCAAAGTGGATATAGGGATCTTGCAAACTGTGACTTGCCCTGAAATTGAAATTCTTTTCTTTAGGGGAAAAAAAAAAAATTTGTGTCATTTCAGTCCAAATACAGCATAAACATTTTAGAAACAGCAGAAGATTAAAGGTGTTTGTGACTGCAATCAATACTAAACCTAATAATTGTTTTAGAGTATGACCTTCCTATTTCTAGGTTTTGGGTTGGGTTGTTTTTTTTTTTGTCTTAATGTACATGCAAACATTTCCCCCTTCCACTGCTCTTTCATAAATTGACTCTCAATATTAGCTTTCAAACTACAGTAGTTTTTGTTCCAAAAACAGCCCCCCTGCTGCAAATTGCCATTCTATACCTTGAGTCGGGGAATGACAAACAATGAACAACTTCATTTAGTGTCTTTTAAGCCTCTCTGGTTGCTGAGTAGTGATTCCTTAACCAGATGGACCTACAACCTCTGCAGATCAGTGGAGTTATACATTGAATAATCAAAGAGAAGTAATTCCTCCAACAGTCGCGGTCAGTCCTTTAGCAGAACTCTTCCAGCAGTACATACTCCTTGGAGAGGGGGAAAAACTGAGCACAGAGTAGCATAAGCAAAATGTATTTTAATAAGATACTGTCACAAATGATGTGCAGAGAAGCCATGGCTGCCCCATCCCTGGGAAGTGTTCAGGGCCAGGTTGAGTGGGGATTTGAGCAGCTTAGTTTAGTGTGAAGGTGTCCCTGCCCATGGCAGGAGGGTTGGAGCTGGATAATCTCTAAGGTCCCTTCCAACCTAAACCATTCTGTGATTCTATGATCATCCATCCTGAATATATGCAGTAAAATGTATAAATTTTAGTAGTCTCTAATTTAGGGCTTAAAACATGGCCCTGGTCAAATGGCAGCTGGAGAATTTAGACTTCCATACTCAAGGCTGAGGTTGCTGTTCCATAGAATCAAAATCATGAAATGGCCTGGGTTGGAAGGGACAGGTTGCTTCAAGCTCCATCCAACCTGGCCTTGAACACTTCCAGGGATGGGGCAGCTACAGCTTCCCTGGGCAACCTGTGCCAGTGCGAAGGTTTCATTCTCTACTTGTAGCAGCTAGTGACTCACTCTTAGACAGGTACTGAGCTCAAAGGGCTTGAATTTTTTGGTTTTGTCAGAAAAGTCATATTTTATTAATATGGACCAGGTTAATTCTAAGGTAATACAGATGCTTAGTTCAAAGTTGCTAAATCTTAAGTATCAATTACTTCGTTTCTCCATCACTAACACCACTGAAAGCTCAATGCATGTTAACTACAGGGGACTGGAGAAAGTATTCAAAACAGAGAAATAAAGACTTTGAGTGATTTGGGCCCCACTAAGGAACTTAAATGATGACTTAAAAAAAACAAAAACAAAACAAACAAAAAAAAACCCCAACAAAATCAAAGCACACACAAAGAAAAACAAATAAACAAACAAAACAACAAACCCCCCATAAAATAATAATAATGATAATAATAATAATAATAATAATAATAAAATTCACTACCACACAAATAAAAATGAACCAAAATATGGACACCGGTATTTTGTAGCTCTGGAAGTTTCTTCTGTTAGGCAATTTGGTTTTTGTAGAGGTATGGAAAATGAGACTGTTACTGGTGCTTCTGAAGAGTTAAAGAATTTACTACTTGAAATCTCAGTCCTGCTGGCATTTAAGCAGTTAAATAATATAATGGGGTCTTACACAGTCTATAAAGATAAGCAAGTATGTGGCATTTTGTGGAACTTATGGATTATGTCTTTATATAAAATTATTAGAACTTCATGAAATTTTAATATGCAGATAAATGAAAATAAAACTTAATTATTTCAAAATATTGTTTCAATTTCAGTTTAGCATAATGCTGTTAATGGTAATGTGAATGTATCAGAAGATTTTTATTTAGTCAGCATCCCATTAAATACATTAACATTACTCTCCTTTTCTCATCAGTAGTCTTTATATTATGATGCCATAAATGTTAGACAACTAGAAGGGAAAAAAAAATCTCTTATGAATTTATCTTTCTATTTCACTTCTCAAGATTACATTGTTAATATATTATATATCAGTTTATGGGATATTCTTGATTCTTGCAGTTGCCAGTGAGTCACCAACTTCAGTTGTCATCTTGTTTCTATTATAGTAACTTTTAAAACATAAAAGTAATGCATTATTTTTTTCTATAATAGTCCCTAATGTCTTTCAGTAACTAGCTTTCCTGTTACTTTCAGATGTTTGCCACCATTACTGTGTGAATTCTGAATCCTGTACTATTTCTGATGATGGAAGTGTAGAATGTGTCTGTCCAGTACGGTTTGAAGGTCCAAAATGTGAAGTGGACAAGTGCATCAGGTGCCACGGGGGACACTGCATAATAAACAAGGACAGCAGTGATATAGTATGCAAGTAAGTGTGTAGAGGGGCATGATTGTGTTCAAAATCATATATTTAATTGCAATTATGATGAGTTGCAATTATATCCTTTGAATCTCTTACACAGTCCCTGATCTGGTCACACCAGTACAACTCCTTTGTGTGGTTCCTGCTCATACAAAACCCACTGGCCCCTGTTTTTTTAAACCATCTTTTGGAGCACTCTTCACTGGGGGAAGCATAAGGCCAGCAGACTAATTAGGTTTTCATTTGAAAAAAAAATTAATCAAGTTAACAATTGAGTTTTACCATACTTTTGAAAGCTGTTCATTCTGCATTATCTGTGACACACTGCATACTATTGGAGGCATATGTATTCACATGTGCTGGTTTATTCCTGAGGAATTATTTTGTGTAATAATAGCTTATTTTCATAAAAGGAAAGATTAAAGATATTTTGTGCAATAAACTCTCTGCCTGTGCTAGCTTTTCAAAGTGGGAACCAAGAATTCTTGCAATCAGTAGATGTCATACATATCACATAATAGGTAGACAATTGTAAGGGAATTCACAGATTTACTAACTACCGATTGTTTTTTTGTATTTATTTTTTTTTAACCATGCCAGTTGCACAAATGGAAAGATTGCCTCTACCTGCCAGCTGTGTGATGGCTACTGTTACAATGGTGGTACATGTCAACTGGACCCAGAGACAAACATTCCTGTCTGTCTGTGAGTATCCTGCATTGTGTGGATAAATAATAATACCTGTGTTCCAACAAATAATAAAGTTATTGTGCATGTGTCTCTATTTTTGGTCCCTCTAGGATGTACAATGTGCTGGTTGCAGTTGTAACTTACAGTACAGTTTTCTAGCTTTTTCTGTAACCTGAGACTTTGCCTACCTTTCTGCAAAATGTGTATTGAAAGACATAACTAAGGAATATATTGTGAATGCATATAAGGTACAAAGATATGTCTTTTGAGACTTCTAATAGTTTCAGGTCAGATCTAAAGCCTATTTAGGCATTTGTTCTGGAATGGAGTCTGGAAGCATAGGATGGTTGCCTGCCCTGTTTCTCAAAGGTGGATTAAAGTCTTTTCTCCTCTAAAGATGGTCAGATCTGGGGGCAAAACACTCCTCCTGATGGCTGGAGAGTATAAAAAATAATGTCAGTGTTAATTTCCCTTATGGGTCTGAGGAAATGCTCATGTGTCTCTGATTTGTGCCCTAACCTTCACCCTGCCCACAGTAGTGTGGCTGTTCTGAGGTGAGGTTGTGCTCTCCCTCCTGCACTGTGGTTGAGAGAATAATTCAGGATGCTTTCTTAAGCCCAGACATAAAATACCAAAGAAAATGTGATTCTGTAGTCTGGTAAAGTACTGTTGTAACAGGTAGAAAAACCTACATTCTAGTCCTTTCTTGAGAGCTGTGGTGTATCTTCTTTTTCAGCTGCTCAATATAAAAATGCTGAAGTAGTCACTGTAGCAAGAAATTAATTTCTTTCCTGCTCTCAGTTACACTGAGCTATGTAGTCATATTCCTTGGGGTTTTTTTTTGCTTTTGACTACTAAATGATCCAATCTCTTTTGCACTGCTGAAAAGCTTCAGCGTGGAATTGTCTTCCACTTTTCCAAACAACCTGAAGGTCAGAGTATCCTCCAGGTTGGAAGAAAGAGTTGTTGGAAGGGAAAATCGAACTCGAGTGTCTCATTTCCTGGGTGACATAAGTAAGTTGTTGCCCAAAGGGATCTGGCATTACAAATTTGTAAATACAGCTACAGCCAATCCTTCATTTTGTTGATGTGTGTGTGGTAGGTGACCTTAAAAGAGATTACCTGTTTTGTTCAGACTCTCAAGGAAGTTTCATAGAGAAATGCCTAGATTTTGTAACCTGATAAGTAAGAGATGGGTCAGTGGTTCCTCCCCATGAGAGCTGAAGCACTCACATGTGCAAAGGGACACAACTGTAGTTTCAGTACCATTGAAAAGTTATCAATAGATGTTTGTAGGTGTGGGGCTAAAGGCAATGTAATTTAGTTCTGCATGGTAGCCTTTATTCAGTTGGAAATGCTTTAAGTGCCTATTTGTCTTTTTATTATTATTTTCATTGAGATAATTTTACCTGTTATTTTTACCTCCTTAAATGTCTTCAGTTGAAGACTAGAGACTGATAAATCATAGCAAAAGGAGAATATCACAGCTGTAATATGTAAGACTCAAATATGATGACTAAGTCTGGTGATTCATTTCCTTAAATACCTAGAATGGCTATTTTGGAAGCTTGTGATTTTTCCTTTCTTTTCCCTTATAAGACTGACCTAGTATTTTTCTAATTCATGTGGAATACCATGGTATCTCAAGGGAAAAAGGTTTCATACCTTAATTTGTGAGTTTACAATATATAAGTGCTGTAGCATATACCAACACCATAAACAATGTTAAAAAAAAGGTAATGTAAATGTTTAAGGCCCTTGTAGTCTGGATCAATCGATAGAAATGTATAGTATATCTGACAGTAACACTTTGAGAACCCATCAGTTAGTACAGGCCCATTGTTTTAAAACTGTTTGATCAGCACTGATGAGCAAACTTTTCAGTATTGTCAGATGGACCTTCCATGAAAAGAGGAGTATTAATTTTGTTTTCTGTGAATCTGTGTGTGTGTATATGTGCGTGTCTTGCCATCACTATATATAATGCGTTTAAAATATGTTCAGCAAAGGCAGAATATTTATATAGGTCTATTTTACTGAAATTCTGCAGATGCTCTGTGGGGTTTAAAAGTCAGCGCTGTGACCAGAAAGTGAACCCTTGTGATTACTACTGTCAGAATGAGGGAATTTGCACTTTAACCACGTTTAATGAACCGAGATGCAAGTAGGTTTAACCTTCCACTTAATGCTGCACATTCTGTGACATCATTCCAGGCCACAGTTCATTGGTTCAAGTCATGCACATTCACATACATTTCACAATATATACTTAATCTGGGGGCCCATTTCTATAATACACACTTACCCTTTGATAGTTGCACTGATGAGTATATTTAAACATACATCTGGAGTGTCTGTATCATTAGAGGAAGAAATAAAAAGCTTTATTTTTACTAAGTGAATTGAAAACACTGAAAATGCCGCTTGGCTTTTATTGCTCATATTTTGAGATATTTTACCAAGTTAATCCTACATAGCATAAAGTTTAGCAGTGACATTGCACGTGTTCTATAGTCCAAACCTGATTTCCTATTTCTTATCCGTACAGGGAAAGTAGCAGAAGAGCTATTTAGGTACCACTTCAGGAGTTAAGCTTGTATTCATAAGTCTTGTTGTTAAATTTATAGAAATAATGCTGAAAAATAGAAACTGTTGAACAAAAATATGTGTGCTGCATCATAACTGTGAGTTCTCTGATTTAAAAAAAAGTTCACATTTGTATTCTCTATTTCTCTAAGAGATGTTAGGTCTGTTTCTTAAAGAGAAAATTTCAGTCTTCATCAGGGAAAGAAACAACCTTAGTCTTTGAAAATCCTGTAAGGCAGTAGTACAGAGAGATATGAAATACCTGTCTTTGCTTTACTCAACAGTTGTGAGGCAAAAGTCAGAAGTGAAACCATGAACCAAAGACCTAGACTTGTATTTAGAATATGAAGCTCAAACAGCTTTAAACTTCTCATCTAAATGCATGGCTTATGAAAACATAAAATGCTGCGGGGATGTGATGTGGGTAACTGGTGGGTAGCAATGATAGTGACTAGGTAGGCTGAATGATCTATTTTTTTAAAAAAAATATGGTCACAATTCCTTTGTCAATGTTCTCATGCAATGAAATTCTCTGATTTGAGGTATCATAAATCCACTGGCAATGAGATAATGTCTTGATTACTACTTTTGACACCTGGAAGATATGGAGTGGGTTTGTTGATCAGCATTGTACGGGACACGGGTGCTTGGAATTGTTTGTATCTGTGCATCATACTTGGGTTTTCAGAATCATGCAGCCCTAAGAAGAACATGTTGCTGACTTTAAAGTTTTATATTTCACATATAATATAAAATTGTGGGAAAATGGAAAAAAATACTTAAAGAAGACAGAACAAACAAACAAAAAAAAAAAGGCAACCAGGACTTGTACAAAAGTGGTGTTAGTCTTGGTTTTCTTTCTTTCAAAAAGTGTAATGTTGGTACCCAAAGGACTGTTTTATTGATGAAAGCTGTCATTTCTCCCTTTAAGAATGTACTCTTCCACAGAAAATATCAGGAAGGAATTGCAACATTTTGAACATAGTGATTAACTTATTTGGTTTACTTATTATATATTCTGACTGTGACAATATTCCTAAGGCTGCTTTTATTAGATATTTGTGCTATCTAGAATAATCTAAACCGAAGTAAAAAGAAAAGCAGTAAAGCACATCAGTAATATGATGAAAGGACTGAGCAGCCCTTTCACTTTCATCTTCTCAGGGTTATTTGACATAGTTTTGGATTTTTTTGTTTTTAATTAAAGTTATTGTTAAGATGGGAAAAAAGAAACATGGAATTAAAAAAAAAGTGGAAAAGGTTGAATTCAAGTTTCTCTTCAGTGTGAGGAATGGTTTCAGGTGATTTGGTAATCAGAAGTTTAAGTTTAATTGAAACTGTAATAGATAATTCGCATTCCGAATGCAAACTTAGGTAGAGATCATGTTCCTGTTGCTCTATAGGCTCACTGTTGGGTTAGTACGACCACCACTTCTAAATTGTTGCTTTCTTTACAAAGCCAAGGTGGCTTAGAGAAGAAAGTGAAGCAAATAGTTGTTTGATGGAGTTGAAGAGAGTTAACCATGATAGAGAAAGAAATGTACCTCCACATGCCTCAGTTCTCCTTGCCAAACTCAGTTCAAGCTCCCATTGTTCCTAGTGCCTTTGCTTTTTTTCTGGTCCCAAATTGCTTCTTACCTGGAACTCATTTATTATTTTATCAACCTGACACTGGCAAGTAGAAGGCATATGGAAGGAGGGAAGGAATCCCAGGCTTCCCAAGAATCATTGTGTCAGGGAACAGGAATCTCAAAGATTTTCCCCGTTAAATTCTGCTCCATTGCAAGGAAACTTATTTATCCCTCCAACCTTCATCTGTAGCTATGTGGGTGTGTATGATGTATGACGTCTGGCTCTGATCTGAGAGACACTTATCTAATGGTTAACATTTTCCTTAACCAGTGTCTAATTCATGGGTGGGTGATTTTTAGAAGAAGTAGGACATGCCTGGGTTAATTGTCATTCCGCAGGAACAGCCAGCATCAGTTGAGATTGCAACCTTTATACATAATCAAACCCTTATTATCATTCAGTAAAGACAATAGAGAATAAGATTTATCTGTTCTAAAGGGCAGTCCTAAAGCCATAATTATTCAGAGTAACCACAAACCTGTAAGAACAGACTCTCCTTTCACCAACCTGTACTGTTAGAATACATTTTTATTTTATCTTCCTCTCTCAATATCAGTTGCACATTGGAAGTAGAAGTTGTGTTTTTCACCTAACCAGTTTAGGAATGAATTAAGGCCTTACACTGGCTGCACATAGGCAAGCAAAAAAATAAGGGTTTCTGAAGAAAGTCGCCAGTTTCAATGAATGCTCTTTCAGGTTTTAAAATATTCAGAATGTACTGTGATTTCTCTTTAGACATAAGGTCCTGTGCTATCTAGATTATTAATTCTTAGCATTATTTTTAGGAATATAAAGAT